GAGCTAATATGCAGAATCATTTGGTATCCACAGTATTTTTCTCATAAATACTGTCAAAAGAGTGTAGTTTAGTTTTTTTTATTTTTTATTTACCTATATTTTGACTACTATTAACAAAATTAATACATAATTTTATCTTACTTTAAAAGACAAATAATGTAACTGGTAAAAACTAAAAAATAAATGTTGCAAAGATAATTAATATTAAAATTATCATATGTTAAACCTTTAAAACACACTTCTGTAAAATTTTGTATGTTTTGAAATTATTCAGTTTTAGTGTGAGAAGACGATATATTGTGTCACTTAGAGAAATTACCATAACATGACTGACATCACACTAAATTAACGTTTTTAATTACTATTGAGCTCCAAAACTTAACTTGTAAGATGGCCACAGACCTACATCACTGCAACAGCACAATAAGTATACTGATAATTGAATAAAATTGCACCAGTATACCTATTTACAAAAACAATTTAGGTTGATGATTGTACATACTAAAGATATTCAGTCATCATCTTTTAATCAGGTGACAATCTTAGTTATGAAAGAAAATAGTTAGAAAATTTATTTTCACATAATTTAATAAATCCCGTACCTACTTAATAAGATAGAAATGAGTCGTCTATTATCAAAGGTGGCAATCTGTGCATTTGGACAAAAAAATGTTATTGATATGTCAATACAGATTGATTTGAATATAATTGTCTCCTTCAAAGAATACGGTTCAAAACCTGCATTAAATAAAGGTTAATACTTAACCTGTTATTTATCTAAGATGTCGTTCAGAAGAGTTTTGTGACTGCCAATGTAATACAAAGTCAATAATTCGTTTTTGTGATTTACCAATAATTGTCCAAAAGTCACATTGCCGGCTTTGATAATAGTCGACTCAAATTAAGTCTTCAAATGAAAACATTTAAGTACATAAATTTACTTTTTTATTTATTAGAGTGTAACTTATAAAATATTTGTAGGTGTTGGCTGATTAACAAATTAAGTTCTTAAATTTGTAATAGTCAATGGAAAAACTTTAGGTTTTTATTCTTCCAATGTTACTTAAACATAACACCCTCATTACCAAACTCACTCACATTTATGAATATAAAAATTGCTACACCTAGTCTTCATATTAATACATAATAATTCAGCATCAGTCCATTGAAGATTATTATTATTTGTTCATAGGTGGTCCATTCATAAGTGGAGGTCTCATTTGTCCCATTGGTCCCATTGGACCCATAGGACCCATTATGGGGCCCATCATAGGCGGTCTCATTCCCATCATTGGCGGCATTGGCCCATGTGGACCCATCATCATTGGTGGTGCCATAGGACCTCCAGGACCCATAGATGGAGGAGGTATCATACCGGGAGGACCACCGGGTACAGGAGGTCGGGGTCCTCCTGGTCCCATTACCGAAGGATCCCAAGGTGGTGGTATTGCAGTGCCTTTGTTGCCAAATGGATTTTGAGCAATTTTGCCTGCTTTGAATGCCGCTGTTGTTGCATCGATGAGATGTTGTGCTTGTTCCTCCATCCATTTCTGATAATAAAACTTCACATTGTCTTTATGTTTTCTTCCTGTGCAGTGAGTTTTCCTTACACTAGGTGAATCATGTGTGAGGTAAGTATCACAATAATCACAGTAATATTTAGGCATTTTCAAAAAGCATTAGCAACCTAGAAAATTCTAGTTTCAAAAAACAAGTACTTATGTAGAATATAGATTATACAATACATACACTAGTACATATTTTTAAGGGATTTTATGACTTGGTAACTAAGACCTTTAAGTCGTCTTGTTTTAATTTATATTCTTATTTTTATGATAATATGGTGTGGAATGAAATGAAATGAAGATGATTAATTTGAAACATTAATCAACTGGGATGAAATTAAATGAAATCAGATGAGATTATATGGAATGAAATATAATCTCAGTAAAATGGTGTTCATTTACTGAGTTTTTTCAGTGGACTTTTTTCAGAGAACATTTTAACACTAAAAGAGCATAGATAATACTCAAGCGGATCCAATTTTTATGAACGGCAAAAGGTATTTTGTTGAAACTGAATTATCTGAAATTTAAAAGTATTGAATTGGAATAAAAAAGGTAGTTTTCCAATTACTGCACTAGAGCGCATTATGCGGCATAATGCTCAATGTTCCAACTACAGCAACGCTTCACACAACCGAGCACTCTCAAAAGTACTGCCTGTCATCAGATATTTTATTAATGGCTCAAATAACTCATCTGTTTCATTATCATATATATATTTTCAATAAATATATCACTTAAGAAACTTATAAAATCTGACGCATCTTGCGTTCTCGCCACAAAGTGGTAATAAATGAGCACTTAAAACAAAAAATTACAATGAAGGTGGAGCTATTATAAATTAATTTAACATTAAATGGCAAAAATTGATTTATTAAGCGGCTACAAAGTGCTCCCACAGGTTTTTGCGAAGCTAGTCGAAACGAAAATCGATTAATCACAGAAATCCGAATAGGTCGTTTATTTGCTGATTTTATATCGATATAAATGGCAGATAAGCTTAGTCAAAATAAATATTATATAAATCCGAAACTTAGTTTGGTCGCTCACATTTCACACTACGTTTAATTTAATGTTGAGTGATATGGATTTCAAAGATAAACCTGTTTTTCAATTAAAATTACAATGCATTGGAATCTTAGAACAAAAAAGCTTTTATCTACAATTGAGCCATTTTTTATTTAACAGCAAACTATCACTTTTATTAGTGTAGTTTAATGAAAATGATAGCGAATTCAGTGTTGACTATGATATGGTAATATTTAATACCTACTAAGCTTGAAATATTTTAGATCTCAGAACGGTTTTTTGTGATCCGAAGTGAATTAAAACACAATGAATTAATTAAATAAGTACTACTTTGTAATACTTCGTGAAACTAGATTTTGTTTCTCAAAACTAACATTGAACCCATCTTTAATTAAAACCTGTTCATCATTTAATCCCTAGCTCGTAATACTATTCAAACTTGAATTTAAGTCTTTTATTATAAATACTTCTTTTCAACATATCTTATTCAATTTTGTAAAGCTAACAGGAAATTTACTTTGGTTATAATATAATTATTAGCACTATTTGGTAGCACTATTGGGTATTTTATGAACTAATATGTAATATTAACACATCTTCTTTACACGACGTAAATGAGACCCAATAAAAAACTTCCCACGTCTACTCTACCTTACGTAGCAAGGACATACTTTGATGGCGTTTTGATAATACCTAATATAAAAAAATATCATATTCTTAAGGCCTTACCTTAAGAATATGATATTTTTTTGAATTTAGATATTACTACAAGCGCTAGTAATAGTTACCCAGTATGCTTTCCACTTATTAAAAACGTCTTTAACATTTTTATTTTTTTGGTCAGAATGAAATTCCCGGACTTCCGCCCTCCACTGGGGATGGCGGGCGGGGCATGTTGGAGTCGAATCGACTAAAAACCTCCTATCGCTCAACAACCCACGCCTTACCTCGCATGAGACAGAACTTTAAGGCAAAGGGGGGAGTGTGAAGCGCTTAGTACGGAGCACATCTCTCCCATCGCCCTTTCCCTCGAACTTAAAATATTTCCACTATCAAAGAGCAAGCACACAAAACTTATACCATTTGCCAGTCAAAAAGAATAGAAATAATTTTGTAAAATAGATGATAGCGGAGTTTGTTTTGTGTTTGGGAAGTACGCTTAACTTTTAAGTAAAAATAAGTATACTGCGTTAGTAGCACCATTGATAGAGATAATAGAGGAAGGGTATCGTGATTTGGACATGCTATGCGAGTAGAGGATGAGCATGTGGTAAAAGACTTTTTTTTTTTTTTTTTTTCCTACCTATGTTGATAGCCTTGAGAGGCTATATCAGCGTAACCCTAACTTTTGTAGGTGAGCTCACGGGGCTCAAACCTGATGACGTTGCTAACACGAACCCTAGCAAGAGCCGTGCTTCGCAGAATCTACCACCGGATCGGAAACGCGACCCACTGAGAAGATCCGGCGAGAAACTCAGTGGGCTGTGTCTGAGAGTTAATTTACTCGTCGNTACGGATCGGAACAAAGGATCAAGTCGCAGACATCCTTACCAAACCACTACCTCGTACGTCATATGCAGTTCTACGCCAGGCGCTAGGACTGTGTACTATGTAAATGTTTAGGGAAAGTGTTGGAGTTAATGGATATAGAAACTCCTTATCAAAAACATATACATAGAAAGAAGTGACAAGAGTTGTCATAAGAAGAAGTGAAAAAATGTCTGTCACTTCGTGAAGTACAATAAAGAAAACTGTGATTTCGATAATAAATTCTAAAACATCGACGTAACTAATACTAATTCGTAAAAGTGTGTTAGTGTATTATTTCGTAACTGCCTGCACTCTGCGATTTAAAGAACCACGCTCTGCTACCAAGAACTTTAAATCATATCAGTAGCTGCGGTCTGAAGTCGTCGATGAAGCAACGCCTTCTTCCTACACGAGTAGTAGATGGCGGTGTCATCGGCGAAGAGCGCCAGATGGGTCTCCGGAGACCGGGGTATATCATTGATATACAAACTAAATAGTAACGGGGAGAGGGCGGAGCCTTGTGGGACTCCGGCTGTGACGTGGGTCAAAGACGATGGATATGGAATGATCAATAATATGAGGTGTCCTAAAAAGATTTGGATAGACTATGTGAAAGATATGCAAGAGAAGAATGGGAGTGCAGAGATTACGTGTGATGATGAAGTGTACATATTGTGGGATAAGGGCAAAAAGAAGAAGAAGATTAAGTTTTCACTAAAACAGTTAATTGAAATAAAATAGCAAAGTCGTTATTAATTTTTAAGCCGTCTAGTCTGTCCCATTTGTACTTTTGACATAAAGAATAAGGAAATAATGTGTCAACGTCATAGTTGAAATCTTGTTGTTGTCACTTGTCAGTTGGTTTTGCAATTTAAAATGTAACAATACACATTCCTACAATTGTTCGTAAAATTTCATTCTGATTTCGCATAATCTGTGATTGTAATTCTTGTGAACGCGTGCACGCATCAACTTAAAAAACATCAATTAATTCTTTCTATAAATACATTATTGATTAAATGCATGTTCATAGTAAAAAAAATTACACCTTAATTTTCATAATCGTCTCATTTTTTTGAATCTACTATAAAATGCCGGATATGAAATATATTCTTGTGACTGGTGGCGTTATAAGTGGTGTTGGAAAAGGTGTAATCGCAAGTTCTTTTGGCACAATCTTAAAAAGCTGCGGTATTGATGTAACTTCTATCAAAATCGATCCGTATATCAATATAGATGCAGGAACGTTTTCTCCCTACGAGCACGGTAAGTTTAGGACTGACTTAGTTCGCTTAACCTAATTGGTTTTGCTGTACCGCGTGTTCTTAAATATGTAATGTTGAACTACAGATTTTCTATTTTAATTTCTAGGTGAAGTGTATGTCTTAGATGACGGTGGCGAAGTTGACCTTGATCTTGGCAATTATGAGCGCTTCTTGGACATAACTCTGCATAGAGATAATAATATAACAACGGGAAAGATTTATCAACAGGTTATAGAACGGGAGAGAAGAGGAGATTATTTAGGAAAAACTGTTCAAGGTAAAGAATAAGAGCTCATTAAGATTGTATAAATATGTATTGATTGAATTAACCTTTTAATTAATTTTAAATATTCTGGCTAGATAATAGACATAATTAATAAAACATAATAAATTAAAATGAATGTATTGTAGGAGTTGTGCAAAAATGCTTTTTGTAGTATTTTTTTACTTTGCTTTATTTTATCACATAATAAAAAATAATAATAATTTACAGTTATCCCACACATTACTGATGCTATACAAGAATGGGTACAGAGAGTCGCACATATTCCGGTGACATCAAATAATGCACCTCCTAGAGTGTGTATAATAGAGCTTGGTGGCACAATAGGCGACATAGAAGGAATGTCATTTGTAGAGGCATTTAGACAATTTCAATTCCGTGTGAAGAGGGAAAACTTTTGCTGTGCTCATGTGTCTTTAGTGCCAATGGTAAGTTAAAATTGTGGGTCATGTAAAATTAATTCAATTTTATAATTCAATAAACAATAAACTCAAATTCAATTTTTTTAAGTTGAGAATGACAACTGCCTAATATTAGTGGTAGTAGTTGGTCATTGGGGATATGACAATGCTTCTGATTACCATCCAAATAAATTATTGTAATACTTTGATTTAACATTTATTTAATTTCTTTATATAATAAGCATGATTAAACTTATTATCAGTAATAGTTGAGTTAACTTATTTGTAGTTGAGATTAGACCAAAATTATGTCTGTTCCGATACAGTAAACCCATTGCTTATTCAATTGAAGGATAAATGATAAATAATTTCAGCCCAAATCAACTGGGGAACCTAAAACGAAACCTACACAATCATCAGTCAGAGAGTTGAGAGGCCTGGGCTTGTCACCAGATTTGATCCTGTGTCGCTCTGAAAAGCCCATTAATCATAATGTGAAAGAAAAAATATCAAACTTTTGTCATGTTGCTCCAGAACAGGTATGTGTTGAAATATGTAAACTGTATATAATGTGACTTCATTTTCTTTTATTACAATCATTATTGTTCATTGTTGTCTACAATATCTCTGTTTCTCCTTAAATTAAATACTTAAAGTAAAAAATAATATTTTTCAAGTAATGCTCTGAAAATAATTACTTACTATATAATTACTTAAAATAAAAATATTATATAACGCACATTTATTACTTAAAACGCACACACCACTTAAGACGAAATGTGAAATTATTGCCCATAGATAATAATTTTTACCTGTTTTAATGAAGCATGAATGATCTATGAGTACTGTTGCTTCAGTGCCTTTTTTTTTTTTGCTTCAGTGCCTCAAAAAAATTGAACTCAATCTTTAGTTGCTGACCAGCTCGAAACAATTTCAACTGAAAATTTGACTCTGTTTCTAAAGTATTTGATTGACATAGGAGTTTTATGTTGCTATGCCATCAGAGAAATCACATTTAACTAGTTCATTATTCACAGGTTATATGCATTCATGATTTGACTTCGGTTTACCATGTACCGCTGCTAATGGAAGCACAAGGAGTTGTCCAATATCTGAATGAGAGATTGATACTCAATATATCAATGCCTAGACCAAGCAGGTTTGAAGATTTAATAATATGATTTAATAAATGAAATAGGGTATATTTATGGTAGTCCTGGGACACTTTCTGAGCCTACATGGGAAGCTACCACTACCTTGCCAATTACTGCTGTGAAGTAGTTATACGTTTTGGCTTGAAGGGTGGGGCAGCTGATCTACTACTATAAAAAAGAAATCATGTCTCAAGGTGACTGCTCTATTTACGTCTTTGACATCTGTGGCCCCAATAACCACTAGATACTAAGTGGGTCAACCACCAATATAACAATAAAAAAAGGATACTTACAATTTTATTTATTTATGAATAATTCTTATCAAATGAGATGAATTTTAACCTGACAGCCTTAATTAAATCTATGTTTATCAATAGAATACTTAATCTCAAATTTGAGATATAAAGCATATTATAATTTATGTGAATTTAAGGTTAAATTGTTTTCATCGTTTTTAAAATAGACAAGTCAAAGTTCTTCCAAGACTCAACATATAATGTCATTGGAATGTACCAATAGCAAATGAACAATATCAATGTTTGCAAATTGCACATATAAATTTTTATTGCTGTGTAAACAAAATCACGACCCACCTGATGTTAAGTGGTTATCAAACTCATGGAAATCGTAAGTTAATACCGCCATCCACCTTCAGACTTCAGTTGTGGCACATTCAAACATTGTCAACATAGTATGGTACAAGAAATATTATATAATATCTTTCAGATTCATGCGTAAGTGGCGTAATCTAGCTAAGCGAGTAGACAATTTGCGTAAAGAGGTAAATATAGCACTTGTAGGAAAATATACAAAACTTGAAGACAGCTATGCCAGTGTCACTAAAGCATTACAACATTCATGCATTGCAACTGGATGTAAACTGAATCTCACATACATTGAAGCTGTTAATTTGGAGAAACAGATGAAAATCGATGATCCTGTAAACTACCATAAAGCTTGGCAGGATTTATGTAAAAGCGAGTGAGTACAATACTAATTTTATATTCCAGAATTGAAATGAGGTTATCAAGACAAAAATGTAACTTGAATATCACACAGTAAACGAAACTAATATCATCATATAGTATAAATAACATTTTTAAAGATTTAATTTTGTTTTTTTTTTATTACAGTGGTGTAATAGTCCCTGGTGGATTTGGACAACGAGGTATGGAAGGTAAAATTGAGGCGTGTCAGTGGTGCAGAGAAACACAAAAACCAATGCTAGGCATTTGCCTGGGCTTACAAGCTGCTGTCATAGAATTCGCTAGAAACGTTCTCGGGTTAAAAGGAGCTAATAGTACAGAAGTAGATCCAACATGTGAAGATAAACTGGTGATTGACATGCCTGAACATCATCCTGGTAATCTTGGTGGTACAATGAGACTCGGAAAAAGAAATACTTATTTAGAACCTAGTATAGTAAGTGAGTATATCATTCAAATTTATTTGTAATTATTACATTGTTAAACGGTTTTGTTCAGAGTTGGTCAAGAATAAACTCAACATAACTTTATCATATAAAAATAACAATAATTAAATATGATATCATTATTTTTATTGTTGATGAGCAAAGAAAGCTTACAGCTGTTCTGGTGCTAAGTAAGTGCTTTATTGGTGGTACCACCGCCCTGCTTATTTCTGCCGTGAAGCAGTAATGCATTTCGGTTTGTAGGGTGGGGCAGCCATTGTAACTATACTGAGACCTTAGAATTTATATCTCAAGGTGTGTGGCGCATTTACGTTGTAGATGTCTATGGGCTCCAGTAACCACTTAACACCAGGTGGGCTGTGAGCTCGTCCACACATCCAAGCAATAAAAAATAAAAAAAACATCTAAGCAATAAAAAACAAAAGTCTACAGACACTGCATAAATGATCACTAGTCACATTAAAGTTTCATTTTGTTCTTACCATTTAAATTGAGCATATGATGGAATTTTTTTTCAATAGATTTACTACTAATTTTGGCACTATCATAATGCTAATTTTACAGAGTCACGTCTCGTCCTAACTGTAACACTCACGTGTTATATTATAAATTTAGGTTACATTGAGTAATATTTTTCCATCAATAGGTCAGTTATACAAAAAAGAAGTCATAGAAGAGCGCCACAGACACCGTTATGAAGTGAATCCAGAATACACAAAACGTCTTGAAGCAGCTGGCCTCAAGTTCGTCGGAAAAGATGACACTGGAACAAGAATGGAAGTAGCTATAATAAAAGACCACCCATATTACGTAACCGTGCAATTTCATCCAGAATATTTGTCAAGGCCTCTATCTCCGAGTCCCACATTTTTGGGGTAAATATTTTAATTTATTTTATGATCACTTATAAAATAACTATATTTCTAAACATAAAGGTTTTTGTATAACTGCAATTTATACTGATACTCTTGACGGAATGTGATCACTGGCACCCATAGCAGACAGTAGAGATGTTATGGGCACAACCATGCTGCTGGCTACACAAAGATTAGTAGTTCTAATACACTGTATTCAATCGTAAGACGCCGTGAACTCTCACTGAAATCGAATATTTTTATCGCCAAGATCAATTTATGAATCTTGCGCAGTTTGTCTTTAAATGTTATTCACCACATCAAAGTATAAACGTTAGAACAAGACTAGTTTCTAGATTTATTTTACAAAACAATTGAGATTTACCACTAATTGTTAGTTTTTACTGATGATAATCAACATTGGTAGATTGTTAATTAACCGTGAATTCACCTTCCACAATAAGAATGAGTAAAAAGATGCAATAGAGTATTCTTTATATTGTTTCATCTCGAGCACGTAAATTTAATGACATAAAGGTCCGCACAAGTTTGTCTTTCTCTTTGTCATTTGTCGAAATAACTATTAATTTTTGCAGTCTTATTCTGGCATCTTTGGGCAAACTGAAATCATACATGAACAGAGGGTGTCGTCTTAGTCCAAGAAATCAATCTGATGTTAGCTCTGGTGAGTATTGTAACCATAAACAGTAACTATGTTTTAGGTATTAGATCGTTTGATGTGTGAGACTGCCGGTATCTGTACCACAGTCCTGTCTAACAACTGTCACTACACAGAGCATCATTCCAGTTTGAAGAATAGGTTGATTGTTATTCCAAGCTAATAAAGACTTCAATATCAAGTTGAGTTGATCATTTATGTTGTGTTATGCTCTATACGTGCGACGGACCGTCGAGGCGATACGCCCGGTCCTCTCAGACTGAGTGAATAGCGACCGAGGACGTCTCACCTTGCGAGCGATGCAGGTTCTCACGGGACACGGCGCCGTTGTCCTTGTTGCAAAGATAGGACCGGACTTGTCGCTTCCAAACGTCTACGATGCCCGGCAGCGACGAGTCCTTTTTTTTATTGCTTAGATAGGTGGACGAGCTCATTACATCTGGTGTTAAGCGGTTACTGGAGCCCATAGACATCTACAACGTAAATGCGCCACCCACCTTGAGATATAAGTTCTAAGGTCTCAAGTATAGTTATAACGGTTGCCCCACCCTTCAAACTGAAACACATTACTGCTTCACGGCAGAAATAGGCAGGGGTGTGGTACCTACCCGTGCGGACTCACAAGAGGTCCTACCACCAGTGCTGCCAGGCGGTGCTTGACTGCTGCCGAAACACGAGCGACATTGCCCGGGAGTCGTTGGTCGTCGACTATCGCCTCGACGACTCGTCGATCGGGCGTCCTCGGGGTGGCGCCGCGAGTCTGGTTGTAGTTCTGACCACGGAAACTCTCCTACTCTGACAGGGCTTTGACCCCGAACGGAGATCGGCTTAAGAGTGCAGGGGAGTCGCTTAGTGCGGTAGGGCCCTAAAACCTTGGGCCCGCGGTCAACTCTCAACATCTGCAGATCGTCAAGTGCCATATACCCCCAAGCCCTCTAAGCGCGCGTACCTCGTAGCAGGTTCGGCTCCCGGTCCGAGAAAGAAAAGCGCTAGAATTATGGTTACCACTTATATCAGATAGATAGAGAGCTTGTTCCACTATAAGTTAACAAATACAACTTTTTTTATATTCTCTGTTTTAGACGAAGAAGATTTGTCTGTGTCTTCAATCAGTTTATCAGATGAAAACACAATCATAGAGAATGGTAAAGAAGAAAATTTAACAACAAACTTGAAGAAAATGAATGGTCAAGTTAATGGTAACACTGGTTAAACGAATTCTCCACATTTAATTCCAATTAATTAGGTACTGTTTAATTTTAAGCTTTACTCGTGCTTTGATCAACTATTTCAATGTAACTAGAATCTATTATATGTTATCTACTCACAAAACAATTACAGTAAGGTCTTTCTAATTATGACAGGCGAATATAAGGGCCCTGTATTTGAATTATGCTCTATAATATTTTAACGATAGTGGAATAGCCGGAGTAAGGAAACCTTTCTGGATAACAAACAGAAACAGTTGTGATATTTCATAATACACCTTACATGCCTAATTATATATTTAACCAATATCTTATCTATTACTGCACGAATGTAAGGAATTGGAGCGGTTGCCTTCTTTTTTTAAAGACGAAAGATAGTAAACTGCTAGTAATAGACACAAATCTAAGTCTAATTTATTTTAGTAGATATAAATACGTATAAAAAGACAAAGACAAAATAGTTACGATGTATTTTTGTTCACGAGCTTTTAGAGCTATTTTTTTAATATTTAAAGGAAAAACGTCAATAAGAAAACATATCGTAATACATAAAAAAATCTAAATCTTGAGGTGTCAACGATTATGGTCGAGTTTCAACTACCGTTTCATCAATGAAAGTAAATAGTTTAATATGTGAAATAAAGTTTCAGATTTGGTGAATCTGTAATATTAAAACAGCTGCGAGACTCGTTATCAGTTTTTGGGCGATACTAATCACTGTAACAAAATATATTCAAACTTTAGTATTATCCTGTTAGAATCAACAGCATTGCAACCTGTGTGCTTAGTGCGAGTTTTTTTTAAAGTTCTCGATAGCGTAAAAGTTACATCAAATTTGTATGGAGTTTGGAACGTTTGCCGCAAGGGGCGCTGTTACAACTGCATACAAATTTAAGTGAACTTTTATGCTATCGAAAACGTTAAAAAACTCGCACTAAGTACTCTGTCTTATTTTCGGGACCTGTTTTAGAACACCCTGTATGTTACTGACGTTGTTGTATCCAACAACACTAATTATTATATTAATAATTAATTAATTAATCGTAATTAAAAAAATTAATCGTTCATTACTCCGCTCAGTGAATAAATCAATTAGAATTAGGAAGGCCTTACTGTGTAATGTATATATTGCTAGAAATGAATTCATGACAAATAAAACGTAAGGACTCCAAACATGCATGCATAATTTTAATAATAGTTTTGTGATTCTGTAACAATGTAATTGTTGCTGGACTTTCTAGATTAAAATATTAAGTTTAACTTAGTCCATAGAATATTTAAGTACAATTTTCCATTTATTATTGTATAAATTGACTATTTCATGCTTTATTAACAGAAATGTGTAAGTTAACAGTGTGATCATCGTTAGAACTGTATTCAAGATTGGTCACGTTCGACCTACGATTTCGGGCTTTTTACACAGGTTCTATAGGGATCGTACCTAAAGTTCAATCGGCAACTACTACCTTAACGTCAATGGAAAGCAATGTTCATTTATTAAGATAAACACAACTAATTGTTGCCCCGCAATGAATAGTAATGGCAGCTAGCCGAAAATTCCCAGTTTTAATTGCATTTCAATGCGCGCTATGCAAACATAGTCAATTCGGTCCAGTGGTATCGTGAAAGGTATGTCATTGTTTTTGGGTACGGTTCCAATAGATGATGCACATAAACATAAAAATGTAGTGCCTTTAACTTCGTGTAACTATAGTATCTGATTATTGTTGACTAACGTTAATTTCATTCATTGTTAAAAATCTATTAAATGTTATGTAAGGTGATCTTTTATCACAAAGAGAAATGTTTTTATTATTAGCCCCAAATATATAGTAAGATTGTAACGTTTGATTGTCCTATGTGATAATTCGGAATGCATACAGTGTATTTGTATGGAAACATATTTGTTGACATTTTATATCTAAATGGAGTTATTTGTAATGGAAAAATATATTTCTAAAATTGGAAAAAATGTAAAAAAAAAACTTAATATTATAGTTTTAGATACCTACTTTAAAACTCGTAGTATGTAAAACTACCACATTTTATTAAATGTTTGAAATGAAATATCATTGCTATAACACCCTCACACAACAATCTTAGCTTAAATAAATAAATGAAATACAATTGAGATTGAGAAATACTAAATTGAAACATACAATTTAACTACATTATAGCATGTATGCAGGTAAATTCTGTGTGATATGAATCAATATTGGGGACTCTTTAGTGAATTCTACACTTGAGAAGAAAACAAAATCTATCCATATTGAATGAAACAATAAGTTGTCTGAACAATTATGTCGTCTAGACTTGTGAGAATTTAAAGAGCAAGAACTTAGATGTATATTCCCCTATGTATAGTTCTAGTAAAAGTTGTTAAATACGTTAACCTAATAGTTTGAATTTTTGACTATGAACGTTAGCTTTAATGCAAATGATTGTGCCAGAATATTATTTTTATGTGTCATAGATCTTATTTAAATTAACAGCCGTTGCAAAGTTTACTAGGCAGGTCCGTTGATCGCAGAATGAAATATGAGAAAGACGTGAAAGTTGTCAAGTGCTCACGATTAGCAATCTTACAAATAATAATTGTGTCGACAGAACCATGACGCTTTTTGTTAAGCGCCGTTTAGACATCTCAGATTGAATTTTTTTTTAAAAGTACTTTAACATCGAGCAGTAATTAAAAAAACTAATACGCTAATACCTACTTAAGTTCTGAAATAAATTATTTCCATAAAACTTGTTTCGTTTCATTTAAAAGGATGCTATGCAGCGCGACAGCGTTTTCAATTTACGAGTATAAACTAAAATTTGGGAAAAATGTCTTGGTCTTACAATCAATCACAGTAAATACTGATGTATCCCTATAATGAAAATAATGAGTAAGAATTAAACATCTACTTATTCAAGAATATTAATTTATCAATGAAAACTCGTAAGAAAATTTTGTTCATTTGTGTGATCAAAAGCACACTCGTTTTTTTATTATAACCAGAAGCACGATGTGAGGATGAAGTCTAAAACTGTTTCATGGTAATATATCTTTTATATTTTGTTTTTGATGTTTTGTTAATCCTCAGTTTGATTCGCCGGTGATTCTCAGTGTGAAAGCATTTTTTTATTATTATAGGTATATAAGTTGGCAAGGTTTTGGTGTAGTGGGGGTAATGTCGCGCATAGTGCACATCGCAACAAAAAATGGTCACTTTTATTGCCCGCATATAATTTAATTTTATTTTATTTAATTTTTTATTTGCCATAATTTGTTTTTAAGCCTGTGTGTTTAGATGAAAGTTAAAGAAAAGAGAGGAATTCGTGAAGTGTATTAGGTGTTATAAATAAAATACAATTAAAAGTTAAGAAGTTTATTTAAAAAAATATACTTAATATTAAAAATTATGTGTCGCCGTCGTCACTATCATTTTCTAATAGTGCTACCCCTTGGATTAAATTTATAGTAGCACCTGAGCTGGTGGAAGGAGTTGGCTCCTCATCGTTGACATAACGAAGAGTCGCTGTCGTCACTGGCGTAAATAATAAAACGCTCAGTGACTGAATCGACTATATGGTCATTGGTATTTGGTCCTGGCATTGCAAACAAATTTAAAAGAATAACACTCGTAACAAAAACTAAATTTAAAACAATAATAACAACTCGTAACAAAAAGTTAATATAAACAAAGGGTTCTACTATTTAGTAGGCGCATGTGTAACCAGGAGCGAACGGAACGTGGACGCGGTGCGGGAGGGGAGGGTCGACTGACTCACCAATTGCGCGCTCGGAACGGTGCTACGTCTTTCCCCGCGTCCCGCTTGACAACCAAAGAGACCTAAAACACGACTTCTGCGCATCTAACGACTCTTGCCAAGTTACGTGCCGGGGACTATAGGTAGTGGAGATAATATGTTGCGACATTCAACTAAGGTTTTAATAATAAGACGGTATAAATGTTTTGAATTTGAAATTACTGCCACAACTTCTCAACCACCCCTTGTAGTAGGAGTCTCGTAGTAGTTTCCTAACCAAATTCTGAAAATGAAAGGAATTGCTCGTTGTGTCAGGTTTGTCAGCTATGTCAATGTCTTATGGGGTTAATCTATGGTCAAAATGAAAAATGTCACAATCGACATTCGACACTACCCAAGTACCTACCGACTGTTACCGATACTTTATATTTTTATCAGTTCTTCAGTTTATTCTGGTGTTTTGCAAGGAAAAAACCTACCATTTGATAGTGATTTGTACTACTCCGTTGCAGGGCATTTCCTGTACCACTCGTGTCTATTAAGAATGAAAATTTCATGATTTAATTCAATTTGTGATTATAATTCGTCTCGAATAGAAGAACCTGGATAGTATTGAAGATTTACATAGACTTCTGTACTTACCACCTCACTCCAACATGAGTGCGAAAAAATTTCTCCTTTGGTAAAAAAAAACAGTGATTTAAGACCAAGCCTTCAAAATGGTATTTGAGTCTATTGTGGTTGATGTCCTGAACAGATTTCTCGGTGATTATGTAGAGAATTTGAACAGATCACAGTTAAAATTAGGAATATGGGGCGGTACGTTTTCTCAGTGATGTCATTACACTTTATGTATGGTTGGTATGACATTATTACAATCATGTCATATGTTTTGCAGGGGATGTTGTTTTGGAGAATCTGGTACTAAAACAGAATGCTTTGGAGGAGCTGAACATTCCTGTGCAAACAGTTTATGGACATTTGGGTGAGACATATTCAATATTTTGACTATGATTATTACTTTATTTTGACTATTGCTTTGAAATATTTAATTTACTTTGATAAAAGAAAACTGAAAATTAAATCATGATATTAGGAAATTGTCATTTAATTAGCTTAAATCATACAAAAAAATATCTATTCAAAAATGTAATCACACTTGGTTTAAGAAAGTACCTAACTTTAAAGTAAAAACATGCTAGATTTCTATGTTTGTAGTAAATAATTAAACTAAGTTACTGTTTAGTTTACATGAAATATCCTGTACTTGGTAAGGATTCCTGAAGAAGCAAAGGGAATCGTTTTCACATGATAAGAAACAAGTTTCATTTGCTAAGTATTAATACGTTTTGTATTAGTTGTTTTCCTAAGTTAAATTTTTAATTCAATACTTAACTGAATTCCTGCTGTGAAATCATTTTGTGGAACTCAGAATGATCTAGTCCATAATAACATATTTTAAAATGGCGATCTATCTGTTGATAAACACTGTTTATGTACCTAATTGCTCTATATCAAGAATACCTATATAAATAATACCAATATGTTTTAGATTATGGTTTTTAATGCTAATTCTTATTTTAAGACAATATATATTTGTCTAGATTTTAGTTTATCAGTTCTTAAACCAGGCAAAACGTGAATAAAGATTTAAAAAAAATTTAAAATAACATAAAAAAATACAGTCAAAATCTGTTATAACGACATCGAAGGGACTGCTCATATTCAGTCGTAAAAACCGATAGTCGTAACAACCGGTGATGTTTAATGTGTATCGTGCAAACACAAACAGATCGATAGGGAATTATTGGAAAAATATATTTACATAATACGCGATTTTTCTTCAATATTAATTTGTTTTCTTTTTCTTTGCGACATTTTGAAAGTTTCACGAATAACTCCACAAAGTCTTGGTGCGTCTTGTGTATAGATAAGTAACGAACTAACTGAAGAGATATGAAGAAGCGGGCTTTGACTCTACCGCATGCATGTGTTTTGTTTCTAAGAAATAGAAAAGACCCTACACTAAACTAAATCCTATTGTTTTCTTTCCTGATTTTAATAGCCATTGAAGACAGATGTGGATACCTATTCAAATTGTTTACAATAAAGCTTAGCCGGTCGTTCTAACAGATCTAATACTCCGAAATATTAGTTAAATGTGGTCGTTTTATGAGGTATGTCGTTATAAGCAATGTCGTATAAAGCAATGTTTTTAATAAGGCGGTCATATAGCATTCAGCCGGGACCTTTGTTCTAGGTTATTATAACCGGCATGTTGTTCTAAACGATGTCGCAGTAAACGGTTTTGACTGTATATTGGTGTATTGAAACATATATTTTACTTTTGCTTGGTATTGTGTGGCCTAAGACTGAGAATGTTTAGGGTAATTTATTCAATAAAAGTTATGCATGAAACACAACAACTAGTATAAAGGAATTTAGTCTACATAAGGTTTCTTGAAATCTCATTTTAGTAGCTTTACTGGGTGAGCTTACAATAAACTTAAAACTTATGGTTACCCAATGTTTTTTATGTTGGATTTGAAATGTTAATGGAGCTCATGTAAACCACAAGGATAATCAGCATTATCATTGTGGTTTACATTAGATTAATATTAGATTTACATTAGATATTAGGTGGAAATCACAACTACATTGGATAAATGGTCATTCTCTACGGTAAACTGGAATCTATATATTAATACGTGAAGCTTGAAAACGTTGTATCCCTTTTTACGAAACTTGCGCAGACGGAGGAGTATGAAATTTCACAGACTTAAAGAGAATATAGAGGAGTGCACAGTGCTAATTTTTTTTTAAATTATGCATATTAGATACTTTAAATCAATAAATAAAATATTACACACACTACCATGTATTTGACATAACACATACATAAAAATATACTCTTTGTTTACTGTCAATTGGGAAACTTTTGTTATTGTTTAAAAGCCTGTGGTCGAATTGAAAATAGATTAATATTATTAGTCTTTAATATTATTGATCTATATTGTTTTGGCGAATCTGTGATTATATTATCGAAATATAATAGTGTTTGACAATAGAACCATAATAATGTTTAAACTTATAATTTAAATTAATTTTAGTCGAATCTCGACTACTGCGGGGCCACTAATACACAATTATTTTATGAGAGAAATATGAAAGATGGAGGCGCTGACTTGTTTTGGGCTCATGTTATTAGTACTCTTGTTAATTATGTATCAAGTCCTTTATAATCGTCTGTTCACGGTATTATGAGAGGAACATATTATTGGGACTAGTGAATGAGCTCTCGGCCCGCTCATGTTAAGTGGTTACTAGAGCACCTATACCTAAATCTTAACATGGAAACTGACACCTATTGACCTGGAGTCATGAGGTTAGATAGTGATTAGTTTCTGAGTGCCAATATTGCTTGAAGTCTACAGTGAGTTGAGATTGATCTTGTTGATTGATGATTGTTGCATCAGTTCTCAGAGTAGGGGAAACCTATAATGTCGGAGATATATGACCATGCAGACTGATAATCCGGTCGTGGGTTGTGCTTTTTTTTTTTTTTATTGCTTAGATGGGTGAACGAGCTCACAGCCCACCTGGTGTTAAGTGGTTACTGGAGCCAATAGACATCCACAACGTAAATGCGCCACCCACCTTGAGATACAAGTTCTAAGGTCTCAAGTAGTTACAACGGCTGCCCCACCCTTCAAACCGAAACGCATTACTGCTTCACGGCAGAAATAGGCAGTGTAGTGGTACCCACCCGCGCGGACTCTCAAGAGGTCCTACCACCAGTAATAAAGTGCTTGTCTGTAGTAATGTGAATGCATGCACAGGACTAGGGGTTTGCATTGACATTGCTTTGGTTACGATGCTAGCTTTCTGTCGCAAGTTCTCTAATATATAAACATTGAAATAACTACGAGTGAAGTATAATTTCATAGTAGTTTTAAAGTTGACAATTATCACTTTATTCAATACCTAATAGCTGGTAGCTTAAGAGGCTATTCCAGCTACGCGCGGTTTTATAGTTGAGCATACCAAAATAACTTGCTAGCATTGGCAAGAACAGTCCTTCATTAAATCTACCTGCAGATCGGAATCGCGACCCACTGAAAACAATTAACGAGAAACTCAGTGGGTTCAGTGGGTTGTGTCTATGGGCTAGGCTGCAAATTGAACTCTCGATGAGTTGAACGCGAATGGTGATCAATTATTGAAACATTGTTTTATCAGATACTTTTTAACTGTTTGTTTTATTATTTTAAAATTAGGAACTCTAATATTTGTTACGTAAATAATGTTACCATTTTACGAACTTCAACGCGAAGATCGTTGCTGGTATGATTAGTTGATGAATAATTAATTATGCAAATAATGCTATGTTTCCTAATAAAATTTCGAAGCTTAAAAACCTTACTTAAATTTTTTATCTGATGTTATTCTGTTAGGAGATATAAGATTATTTTAATTTACCAATCTGTTGGCTTATTCATGGATTTATTTTTATTAAAACTTTTGGAAGCTGTCACTTTAATTTTACAAATTGCAATGAGCGAGAACATAATAGTATTTTGTACTTCACGCTGCGATTTAACAGACCATCCAACACAATTTATCAATCTCTTTTGATAGACCCAAAATTATTAAATGAACAAAAAAGGTAAAATATAAAAAACAATGAAAGGATATTTATTTATTTAGTCTACTTACAAATTAACAGTATAAACCAAAACATTTGTAAGGTATTAATAATTAGCTTAAGTAATTCCTAACAACAACAATAAATCGCTGCAAACCATCATGGAATATATCCATTTCCGGAGCATAGGCTAGCAAGCCATTGAGTAGCGATATTATCTATATTTTTAAGAAACAGTCGTGTAATCCGTGTTATAGGCGTGAAGCATCAAAATTCATATTTCGACCCAATTAAGCAAAGTTATCACGCTACTTAGCATGCGATACAGACAGTGTCTAGTACTTTTGTAATTGTTACAGAGGAGTTATAAACTAAGTGACATCATGCCCTCAAATTAACCGACGGCCTGATTGCCTGACTCGTAATATTTGAAGGCCGTTACCTTGACCTTCACTTATTTTTATATACCGGCGATAATTTATGCAACAATAGTCCAAAAGCTCTATTTATAAATATTCCTTATTTTAAGTTACAAAAATAATTGTATTACCCTAGCTGTTTACTAAGTAATATATTCCAAACATTTTCTTGTTGTTCAAACAATAGATATAGGCTTAGTAAAACACATGGTCGATTATGTTCGGTAATACATTCAAATCATCATTAAGTATAGTCTTTCATCAATCAACAGTAAATGAGATTTTTAATCAAATGCATTTTCTTAATCACATGCTTTTTGGCCTTTAACTATAAAACAGCGATCATAATGAAATCCATAAGTTGACAGCCGTTTTTGTTTTCAATTTGTTAACGACAATTACACGTATAATTCATTATTTTTCTGTCTACTATTACTACGAGTAATGTCATTCCCAGAAATAAAACAAGTCGATAACCTTTAACAAGAGGCTTAAAAATTCTACCAATAATAGGAATGGTTTCGATGCGAACTTAGGTTGTTAGAGTTTCTCAAAACTCATGCTTCGAGAGCAGTAATTAGGCAGCGGCTTGACTGTGCCCATGATATTGCTGATGTTCATTTGTGACGATTAATACATAATTATCGTCAAGCTGGTCAATACTGCAAATAAAAAAATGGTCAGTAGGAATAAGATTTGACGTGCGGGGTTGTTGTCGTATAGTTATTTAATCTAATTTAGGTTAATAAGATATATAATTTTATTTAGGGTAAGAGATTGCGTACGTGAAGAATCAACTCCACATTTGGTGGATTTGGTTGTGTGTGTTACCCAGAGAACTGGGAAACTCGGAACACTGTTTACTGATAGTGTCATCGACCCGATATTTTCATTAGTTGCTATCCCTACTGTGCTAAATAAAGCGTTCTGAGTGTCGACAGTGTTCTTGAGCAATGAAAATGTGTTTCTTGCGTCGGTTATTCAATGCTGCCATTGAGGGGCTTTTTCTTCCCGGGTTTATTTCGTCGAAAGTTTCCTATCACAATTGATTTTTTGTAGAGTTTTTAAAAAATCACATATTCGACACATGTATTTTTAGGTGGCTGTTATTTTCATTTATATCTCGACTTGAGCATCGTTTATGTAAATTAATTTCGAAGCACGGCTGAAATAATCATTTTGATATATAAAACGCTATCGGGCGATAAAAAATTGCACAGTGCTATTATTATTATTATTATTATTATTTAAAACACTGTATTTTTATTATTTAAAATATTACGCAAGCAGGTCAGTCCACCATACCACTAGATCTACAGACATCACAAAATGATTTTATGTAGGGTCTTAACTTTTATTAGCAATAAAGTTTAAATTTGTCTGAAACCACTATTTCACTTACGTTTTAGGATTTACGAGGTAAATCTATTGTATATTACGAGACTAATTGTATTAGTAATACCGTGTGAAAATTATTACGAATTCGTTGTTATATAAAAATAATAAAAGAAATATTAAATTATGTGAATGTCAGTCTTAGTAGCTGTAACTATTGTTATTTGAATACAGCGAGCAAGGGCGAGCCTCTCCCGAGGCCGAAATGGCAATGAACTTAATGGAACGTTAACGTTAATGGAAAATAATATTTATTTGCTTATCTAAAAACAAGAAAATTTCATGTATCCTAAACTACTAACGTTAGAGAGAAGGAATATTAATACTGGCTGACCGACATTCCTTTATTACATTTAACTTACATTCCTATAAGACCGCGCGCCTCTTTCTGCTCTCTTATTTTTGCCGCGAAGATGTCATTGGATATGTTCTGAACTGTAGAACTGCCCTTAAATCATTAAGACTTTAAGTTAACTATGTATAGTGTTATATCATAAACTAGAATCCTACTTTTTTCAAATTGTTTTTGCGTTTCACTAATAAACAAGACGCGTCAATTTTATAACGCGTATGAAATCATGTTCGTTCATCATTATGTTATTATGTTCCATGGGCCAAATAAACTTATCGTGTAACGATTACGTCATTCTATGTAATGTTTTGACTGGATCGCTATATCTACATTATTATGTAGTGCATACTTCGAAGCCTTTTTTAGTATGGAATTTTAACGTTCGGCACATCGATATGTTATCAACAGCGTGACGATATGAGCAATCTCCCAATTTTTGACCAAAAAAATGTGCGCTTAGAAAACGGCATATCTTTAAATTCAAATATTTAGTTTATGCCTTTTTAAACTTTTTAAAATCTTGATATGAAAAGCTTGATCAAACTAACGACACGTCAAGTTGTAACGTATGTAAATCTTATTTAAGAGTTTTCTTACTTTATGCTATGATTGTAGAATCTGTTGGAAACATCTGACTATGATAGGTACATGCCGCAGATATCGTAATTGTGGAAAACCTGATACTGCTATCTCTCCTGAATCCGTAATAATAAGATTTGTATTTGTTACGATGAATTAACTTGAACCGACTCATAGTAGACCATTTTATTAAACAGGTAAACTTGTCCTCAAAATACCGTGGAAGAATCTGTATGGTGCATCAGTGGAAGCTACAATTGAACGACTTTTTTTGATTGTCAATCCATCTGCTGAAGTAAAGTATGATGCTGATAAAGAAGAGAAAATGGCTCTGTCAGCAAAGCAAGCTGAGCTTAGGAGAGTCGAAGAGGCAAAGAAGAAAGAGGCAGAAAAAGGTAACATTCAATTATGTAATTGAATGCATGTTCTATAACTTGTAATTAACTTAATAATTAAGTGCAATATTATTATACGAAATTGCTTTTGCTACTTAAAATTGATATCAAAGTTGTTGATTCATAAAGAGGTACCTTTTTTTTAACCCCGGGGTATCCATTTACGGTTTTTTTTTTAAATTATCATGTTAGCATCACTTCCGGTTTGAGCCCCGAGAGCTCACCTACATGCTAGGGTGAAGCTGAAATAGCCTCTCAAGGCTATCACAATAGGTAGGAAAAAAACAGCCAATTTTATTATATCAGAGCGATATTGCCTCTCATACTGTAATGCATGACATACTTGTATGGGTGAAATATTTGCAAATACATTTTATATTGTGATTTTGCATGTTATCCGATGTTGCTGTAATTATTTTATTGTCATCATGCGTTTTGTTGGGTGAGTGGGGAATTTACCGAGTGATACAGTGCTTACTGTATATATAAATTTCCTCTCTCATTTTACATAAAGCTTCCTGTAACATTAATAGGTAGTGTGTAATACTAACCGATATAATGGTTAAATCATAAATAAATTAAACCAAAATTAGACTGAAGTAATAATTAGACTGAAAATATTTGATAGTAACGTAAAAACTTAAAACGTAGCAAACGATTATTGCAATGAAAAAAAAATATCTCAGTATTTTAAAAATACTTACTCAAACAGTGTTTATGGAGATCGATAACAAACAAACACAATTTTTGTTTTGTATGCTTTGCTTATCATTTATTGTTAGTGCCTATTAAACGGTCTTGATTAAACTAATATGTTCAAGATAGAACATCACAAATAAACATCCTAAAACACACAGGATAATATAAAATATATTTTGGTTATTAATTATTTTTTTGGGAAAACTAATAGTTTAGGTAGAGATAGCTTAAAAAAAACTAATAAATTTCGACCATTAATACAACATGAGTAGATAGTTAACAAAAATAACAACTTAATGACAATTTGTGATATAAAAAGGTAATAAAATAAAATAATAATAAAACCTACTTCCACTACAAATCATAACACACACGATGACAAAAAACCATCATTACTTTTCTATATTTTACAATGCAGGCGATAAAATGTATAACTGACATTAATAGGAAATGTTATATTTATTTAAAACTATAATCAGAAATAAACCATGTAGTGTTTATCTAATTATGAACGTTCTAATAATATTTGGAATGAAGTTATCATCTGTACGTATTAATAAAGGGTGTTTGAAGGGCGGGACTACAATCTTATATCCCAAGGTGACTTAATACCAGGTGGGTCGTTGGATCGTCTACTAAGATAGTCGAAAAAACTTCGACGCTGTTTACAAGGTTGAATTAATTTAATTAATCTAAACGAATACAGGTTTATTATCGTATTTAACATGCTCGTATTGGTTAATAATGCTTCTTTCAGATCAAAATAAACTCGACGAGACCTTCGTTGAGAAATTGGTAACGCAAATTATTAAAAATGTTCAATTGAAGATTACCGACATTCACATTAGATACGAAGATAGCATAACCAATCCGAAGACGCCATTTTCTTTCGGTATCACCCTCCACAATCTGTCCGTCCATACCACCGATGAGAACTGGAAAAAGGCTGTTATACAAGAAGCCGTAACAAAAATCTTTAAGGTAAGGGTAACAACATCAAATCCGTACGTAGAACTAAGAAATTTGGAGGTTCGATACGGATAAACCAATTGGATTGTAAGTCTCAGATGCCAGGTTCGGAATTTTATTTTTTATTGATCAAGGCAGAGTAAACAGAGTAACAAGGCAGAGTTACTATCTTAGTTACGCCACGAATTATTCTACAATATTCAAATGCGTTTAAGACCTTAATCCAATGTTTTAAGATGTGGAGGCATTTATGGGCTCGTAAATAGGCAATTAGATTTTATACCGATTTGTTAATCATTGTCTAGTTTTCGTTATCATAATGAAATCAACAGCCGTTCCATAATTACTATCTACCTAATCAAAATTTCAAACCCCGTAATCCTACGTAACCTATTGAACACGCAAGTTTGCCGCGCGAAATATAAATGAAGTTACAACAGTGCATGGTATCGTATGCAGGTAAAGCTTTTGAGAAATTAATCGACAGCGTTTGACAGTTTGCAGGCTACTTGCATTTTTTTATAGAGAATATAATGATTAGAGTACCTACAAATGACACTTGTTTTTTTTTTACGTCCCTAGATTTTAGATTTAGAAGGTCTGGCGATATATTGGAATCCAAAAACCGATTTATATTCCAAATGTGGGCCCCAAGAAATCAAATCAAAGTTGGAACAAGAAATCGCTACGAAATCATCAAAACCCAGCTTCTATAATTATGGTGAGTTACTATAAAGTGTTTATACTGATTAAACGAGTGCGTGCGCCAAGCCTCGCCTCAATTTACGGTAGGCAGCGGCTTGGCTCTGCCCCTGGCATTGCTGAAGTCCATGGGCGACGGTAAACCACTCACATCAGGTGGGCCGTATGCTTGTCTGCCTACAAGGGCAATAAAAAAAAGCCTTAGTTCGCGAACTATGGAGAAAGGTTTTACAAGGATTCCACATGACCATGACTGCTGTTTTTTATTATTATTATTAAATTCCTTTATTTCAGATAATAATCAATATTATGCTCTATCTATATGCTCTGCCAAGAGTAACCGACTATGATGATAATACCGAACACCGTAGCGATCAATATGTTTAAAATAAATAAATAAAACATTTATGTTTACAGCTCTCGGGCCAATAAATGCGACCGCGAAACTCAAACTCAATCCAAAGCCTGAAGGTGACACCCCTAAGTTTAGCATCCCCAAAGTGATTTTGGATCTTCACATGGAACAATTGTCTGTAAATTTGAACAAAGCACAGTACCAAGATATGATGCTGCTGGCTGACTCGATGGACAGAATGAGCAAAGGAGCCCCTTACAGGTGTGGTAATTAGTGTTAATTGATTTCCCAATACGTTTTGTGAACTTTACTAATTGTTGCTATGCCTAAACTGGGTCAGTTCACTTAATATGTTCCGTAATTATTGTGTTCTGGTATGTATTATACATTATGGTAACATTACTATATACCTAGTCAGATCATAAGTATTGTCACACAGTAAAAACTTTTCTTTTAGAATGCTGGCCACAAAAAAGTTTATTGAATTCGAATTTCGAATTGTTCATAAAAAAAAAATGTATACTTTTAGAATTTTACTCATTTTTAAATATGGAGTTGACGCTTAAAGAAGACCGTGTTGCAGTTATTGCGTTGCATCGTTGCGGTTACGTGCCAATTCAAATTTTTAACCTACTGAAAAATTTGAATATAACCAAAAGATTCGTTTATCGTACCATCAAACGATACAATGAAGAGTCTAGTGTAGATGACAGGTCAAGAAGTGGTCGCCCTCGGTCTGTTAGGACTCCAGCAGTGATAAGAGCTGTGAAGGCGCGAATTCAAAGAAATCCCAAACGTAAGCAGAAACTGTCGGCCCTTCAGATGGGGTTAAGCAGAACCACAGTGAAAAGGGTGTTAAATGAAGACTTAGGGCTTCGGGCATATCGAAGAAAAACAGGACATCGTTTGGATGCTCGTCTAATGGACCTGAGACTGAAGAGATGCCGCGCTTTGTTGAAGCGGTACGCGGGAAAAAAATATCGGGAAATTCTTTTTTCGGATGAAAAAATTTTTACCGTAGAAGAGAGCTACAACAAACAAAATGATAAGGAGTACGCACACAGTAGTGAAGAAGCGAGCAACCGTATTCCGCGTGTCCAACGAGGTCATTTTCCATCCTCGCTCATGGTGTGGTTGGGAATTTCTTATTGGGGCTTAACAGAGGTACATTTTTGTGAGAAAGGTGTAAAAACGAATGCAGTTGTGTATCAAAATACAGTCCTGACGAACCTTGTGGAACCTGTTTCTCATACCATGTTCAATAACAGGCACTGGGTATTCCAACAAGATTCGGCGCCAGCTCATAGAGCGAAGAGCACACAAGACTGGCTGGCGGCGCGTGAAATCGACTTCATCCGGCACGAAGACTGGCCCTCCTCCAGTCCAGATTTGAATCCGTTAGATTACAAGATATGGCAACACTTGGAGGAAAAGGCGTGCTCAAAGCCTCATCCCAATTTGGAGTCACTCAAGACATCCTTGATTAAGGCAGCCGCCGATATTGACATGGACCTCGTTCGTGCTGCGATAGACGACTGGCCGCGCAGATTGAAGGCCTGTATTCAATACGCGGAGGTCATTTTGAATAAACTTTAGTGTCATAAGAATCTATGTTTTGTTAAATTCATTTTGGTACATAAATGGTTACATAATGAATAATTCAATTATTTTACATTAAACATGTAACAGAATTTATGACCTGACTAGGTATGTATGTATGTATATACTCTTAAAAATGTAATCATTTATTATCTGTTGGAAATAAGATTGCTGTTTTGAAATTATAACATTAAAAAAGGTTTGAAGTCGTCGTGGTCTAAAGGATAAGACGTTCGGTGCATTCGTATTGAGCGATGCACCGGTGTTCGAATTCCAGGCGAGTACCAATTTTTCTAATGAAATACGTACTTAACAAATGTTCACGATTGACTTCCACGGTGAACGAATAACATCGTGTAATAAAAATCAAACCCGCAAAATTATAATTTGCGTAATTACTGGTGATTGGACCTCTTGTGAGTCCACACAGGTAGGTACCACCACCCCGCCTATTTCTGCCGTGAAGCAGTAATGCGTATCGGTTTTAAGGGTGGGGCAGCCGTTATAACTATACTGAGACCTTAGAACTTATATCTCAAGGTGGGTGGCACATTTACGTTGTAGATGTCTATGGGCTCCAGTAACCACTCAACACCAGGTGGGCTGTGAGCTCGTCCACCCATCTAAGCAATAAAAAAAAACGTTCATGATTCACAACTTTTCAAATAATAATTAGTTCTAATCCTTGTTATAAATAGCTCTGCGACCATTATCAGATTGAAATCTATTTTAAAAATTGATGTAAATTTTAGATCTAGTCCGTTGTTGTTACCATCTAATTCAACATACTATGAAAAAAAGCGGCTTTTTGAAATGATGGTGTAGCTTTATTATGTAAATTTTTAGGGTTATATTAATGAGCTAAATGAGTTTTATAACATAATATTGACGCCAAGTTAATAAACTACTCCAGTACCTATTGACACAACTTATTCAATCCATTATTTGATTAAAGTGTTTGATTTTGCACTTCAACTAGAACATTGAAATTCAAGGTTAAGGTTTTTAGTACTTACGTTTACCCAACTGAGTTTCTTGCCGGATCTATTCAATGGCTCGCGATTCCGACCTGATGGTAGATTCAGCAACGTATTGCTCTCGCTAAGGCTAGTGTTAGCAAAATCTCTTAGACTGAGCCTGTCGTCAAGTGAAACCTGAATGGTCTCTCTAGGCTACTGGTAATTAAGTAGGTTCCAAAAAACGTATTAGTCTTGCCTTGCGAAAAGTGGTCACCGATGCCCATAAACACAAAGACATATGCCAAAACCAAATTTCAGACATGAGGTAAATGAATTCAATTGTAAAAAGCGTTGATTTAAAACGAATGGCATGACTGCTTCACCGCATAAGGGAACGGGTATGGTATTTTTTTGATGCCATTTTTATTATAAAGTATTTACCCGGCTGACTTATATCAGGTTCATTCGTTCCACCATCAGACAAAAATAGGTTTGAGGAAAGTAACTATTTTAACTAACTTTTGTAGGAAATACCGTCCAGACCTAAAATCATTCAGAGGTCACTATAAAGAATGGTGGCATTTTGCTTATAATTGCATTCTCGAAGAAGAAGTTCGCCGTCGCCGTAGAAACTGGAAATGGTCTCATATGTTAGCTCATAGGCAGCTGTGTAAGGATTACGCATCGGCGTATCAAAGCAAGTTGATCAACAAGGGGAAAATATCGCCAGAGCAACAGGCTCTAGTGGAAAAAGCCGAAAAACATTTGGACTTGTTGAATTTGGTTGTTATCAGACAGAGGATTGAATTAGAGGTCAGTTGATGTGTAACAAAAATAAAAATAAAACACAATTAGATTAATAATTTTTAAAAATATGCCCTAGTTTTTCTTGCATATAGTAAACATATCACAAAGATGTTGTAAATTTAATCATCATAGATTTGCAGGCGAGCTCACAGACCACATAACAACGTGAGGTCGGTTACTCTATCAGATAACGGTCGTGTTACACCAAACCGGAATTAATGAATGTTTTACGGTAGAAATAGACTAATGGTACATCTCTCCCATTACGAAGAGAAGTACTATCATTGTCGTATTAATAAAAACCAACAGGCTTAATATTGAATGTAATCAATTAAAAACGGTTAACGAATTTGAAATAATTTTTTCATTGAAGTCGTTGGTTCAAAGGGTTCAAGGTACATCCGGTACTTAATGGTCACTAGTGCCATAGATATTATAATTTTAATACTGCCACGCACCTTCGGATTTGAGGTCACAGTTTCAATTGCTTTGTAAAAAGGTTGTCCTGTTTCTCTCTTCAAATCCTAAAAATCCTCTCTTTAAACCGGATAATTGCTCTCCGGCGGAAATTGGTAACACAGTGGTACCTGTTTGTGCGGGGTGATACTGTGCCTTCACTAATAAATAGTGTTAGTTTTTTTGTTGGTAATAGAAATTTTATGCTTTATCCGTTTTCCACAAATCAAGGGTTCATACTTGTAATCTATATATTAATACGTGAAACAAAAACTTCGTATCCCTTTTTACGAAAATTGCGGGGACGGAGCAGTATAAAATTTCCCACACTTATAGGGAATATAGAGAAGGAGAGCACAATACTAATTTTTTTTTTAAATAATGCATAAAAAATACATTAAAACATAAAGAAAACATTACACACACTACAATGTATTTGACACACACACGCATGCATACTGTGTTTATTGTCAAACTTTTCTTATTGTTTTTAGTCTGTGGTCTAATAGAATAGATTAAATATTGTTTGTCTTCGTTAATATTTGTCTAAAGTGTAGCCTTATCGAAATTTGTGAAGAAGTAGAATAGTCTTTGGCAATATAATCTTAACAGTGTTTATACGAATTTATAATTTCAATTAATTATTGTCGAACTTCGACTACCGGGGGACCACTAGTACTACTTAATCTTGAATACGAAAGCTTTTGCCTCATTATTTGTAACTGTACGTTCCCTGTTTGGTATTAAATTGTAACGTTCACAACTAATTTCTGAACGGGCAGTCCTTAATCTTTATTATAGTAAAGATGTCAACTACCTAATCAGGTGGAGCGTCTTGGTAAACTACAACAGGAAGCGAAGAAATCTAAAGGCTGGTTCGGTGGGTGGTGGTCCGGTAGCAGCACCAAGGATGACGAAACTACCGATGGAACCGCGATAAGTATGAAAATAGTTTGATGAAATGTACATAATATTATCGTCCAAATTATTATTATTTTTTAAATTATCATCATCATCTTAGGCCTTACAGACCAGCATGGGCCTTAGCCTGGTCCAGTATGTCTCTCCAGATTGCTCTGTTCAGGGCTTTCTCCTTCCAGTTCCTGACACCGATAACTTTGAGGTCGTGCTCTACGCCATCTAACCATCGGAGTTTGGGTCTGCCACGACTTCTTGGCCCTCTGGTTTGCCATAGAGCAGTTGTCTTGGCATTCTGGTCTCTTCCATTCGAAAAACATGTCCTGCCCATCGTAGGCGTCCAATTTTTATAGTTTTTATGATATTAGGATCCTTCTAAATATCATACCACTCGTGGATATAGCGCGTCCCCCATATATCGTTTTTTTTAAAGAGGGTAGGATTTTTTTAAAATTACCTACCCTCCAAATAAGATATTGACACTTTCCTAAACTTACCTTCATACTTAAAAAAAATGTAATCATGTTTTGATTACAGTGAAACAATTCGAGAAGGCGATGACTTCAGAGGAAAAGGAGAAACTGTTCCGTGCCATAGATTACCAGGAGAATACTGCTCCTCTGCATCTGCCCGTTGAATACGTGGCCATCGAGGGGCGTTTCAAACTTGATAGATTACAAGTCGCCGTCAACGACGTGGCCGAGGTTTTGAAGGCGTGTGTCGATAATGTTGAGGTCGATATGAAGCAACGGCCCAGCGCCAACGCTTTGAGGTAATTACTCATTAATATAATTTGATTTCTACTGTAGTTGGATATTGTTAACTGTCGTTTATTGGAGACAACATTTTTGCAATTCACTTACGATTAAAGTTCATATAAAAATCAGCATAAATATATGTTTGTTTCTTCGTGCTCCATCCAAATCTGTATTAAAATTTATGGCGTTTGTTTGGTTTTTAAATCATGTTAGATATATCTAGTTCACTAGCTATAATAATACTCTAATGTGATTATTTTTTACTGTTTTGAAAGGTATGTCGAGAAAAAATTAAGAAATGTTCACTAAGTTAACAACGATTTTGGTTTTAAGGTTGGACATACAAATGCAAAGCTTTAGTGTGACCGGTGTTCAACAAGACGAGTTTCTTCCGAAACTAGTAACATCGAAGGAAGTCACAAACGATGTCAATTTATTGAATGTCGTATTTGAAACTAATCCCTTGGGTATGTTATCAAAATGATTTTATTTTGTACGATACACTGACCTATTTCTTCGCGAGAAGGTCGTAAAAAGCAACTAAGAGATTTACAACACTGAAAAAAGCCTAAAATGATCATACAGAAATACATAAAAAGTTTTTATTTTTATTATTGTATACATGGGTGGACTAGCTCACAGCCCACCTGATGTTAAGTGGTTACTGGAGCCCATAGACATCTACAATGAAAATGCCGCCACCCACCTTGAGATATGAGTTCTAAGGTCCCAGTATAGTTTCAACGGCTGCCCCACCGTCCAAACCGAAACGCATTACTGCTTTACGACAGAAATAATTAATGTATTGTTTACTTTTAAGATGGGGCTTGTGATCAACGAGTGAAAGTGTCCGCCAAGCCTCTACAGATTGTTTACGATGCCCAAACTGTTATCGAAATAGTTAATGTGTTTAAACCACCCACCGAATCTACAGCTTTAACTACGTGAGTACAGAACGAATTATTTGATAAAATCTATGGCCATCATTCAGCATCAGTGCAAGCGGGTTATGGAAATTAAAAAAGAAATGTAAGCAAATAAATAATATAGTAGGTGGCGCACGTGAACATTGACGTCACTATTCGTAGTCTTATCATTTTTTATTTGCTAAAACTCTCACAATTTCTGAACATGTGTAAAATTTGCTGATCAACTGTTGTATTAGCATTGGTGAAGTAAGCGAATGAATTAATACGTTTTTTTTATCTATTGCTTAGGTGGCTGGACGAGCTCACAGCCCACCCATTAAGTGATTACTGGAGCCTATAGACCAGGGGTGGGCAAATACTTTAAAGCGCGGGCCAAAATGAAATTTTCAAAATGTCTCCCGGGCCGGAGGACTATACCGCATATGCTTTTTTACCGCATATGCTTTTTTAATGCTGATGTCAACAAAATCTCATAAAAGAGTTTAAAAAAAATTTATGTGCGGAATTTTTCAACGGGCCGGATAAAATTAGCAAAAGGGCCGGATCCGGCCCGCGGGCCGGCTTTTGCCCACCCCTGCTATAGACAGACATCTACAACGTAAATGCGCCACCCACCTTGAGTTATAAGTTCTAGGGTCTCAGTATAGTTACAACGGCTGCCCCACCCTTCAAACCGATACGCATTATTGCTTCACGGCAGAATTAGGCAGTGCGGAGGTACCTACCCGTGCGGACTCACATGAGGTCCTACCACCAGTAAAACAGTACATTTGTATGTGTATTTCCAGTTTACAAGCTGTGGCAGAAAACAAACTATCGGATTTAAAAGAGAAGTCAACCCTTGGGATGCAGTATGCGGTTCATCATCACACGTTCATCGATTTAGATATCGACATTGCCTCCTCTTATATTATTGTACCGCAGACGGGAAAATACCAAGGGTAAGAGACGTATCAGTGACGTCACTTTGCATATAAAACTAAGCGATATAGATTTTGTCGGTATTAACAGCCAGACTAGTTCAAGGAAAACTTATCCCTGGGAAGATATTGTTCGCTGATGAATTAGGCAAGATGTTGGTATTTATTCGGATACAAAAAGCACCACAAATAATTCGATTACACGTTGTGTGGTTCCTTTGTCACGGAAGTAGTTTTTTTATTGTCTAGGTGAGAGGACAAGCTCATGGCCCACCTGGTGTCAAGTGGTAACCGGATCCTATAGACATCTACAAAGTAAATACCGCTACCCACCTTGAGACAAGAGTTCTAAGGTCTCAGTTGTAATAGTACGAGGGCTGCCCCCCTTCAAACCGAAGCATGTTACTGTTTCACGGCAAAAACAGGCAGGGTGGTGATTCCTACTCGTGTGGACTCGCAAGACGTCCTACTACCAGTATTCAGGTCGACACTAATCTGTTACCTACCCGTGTGGACTCGCAAAACGTCCTACTATTCGAGTCGACCCTAATCGTCCGGTAACGCACGTATTGCGTACGTATTTATTTCAATATTAGATTTAAAGAGCCCCTGTCTGAGGTCACATGTCTACAAGTAGGTACGTGTCGGATGTCATACATATAATTAACCAACGCTCCAGTGAAATAAAAAGATTAAAATCGATGATTTATGGTGACTATTGCAGATCGATAAGGAGGACATTTTTTTATGATGGTAATCACATCTGATTAAACCTGTATGCTTTGATAAATAAAAAAAGAATTATACAAGTACATAATTATTAAAAGGAAATTAAAAAAATATAATATATTATTTACATTGCATAAGATTAGAGCGATAAGAATGTTGATAGCGGCATTAGTTAGTGGTATGGCGAGATGTAGATTCTTCATCATCAAATAAGATTTATGATTAATGTGTAAATATTTTATTATGATCAAGATGCAGAACTCATGTCTTTAGGGCAGCGACTTTCGCCCTATACCGATTTCACTGGTACAATTTTTGCTATCGCTTAGATGATTGGACGAGGTCACAGCCCACCTGGTGTTTTTTTTAAGTGGTTACTGGAGTTCATAGACATCTACAACGTAAATGCCGCCACCCACCTTGAGATATGATTTCTAAGGTCTCAGTATAGTTACAACGGCTGCTCTACCATTCAAATCGAAACGCACTACTGCTTCACGGCAGAAATAGGCAGGGCGGTGATACCTTCCCGTGCGGACTCACAAGAGGTCCTACCACCAGTAATGATGAAGCTCATCAAAACATCTGATTTTCATGTAAAGAAAAGAGTCGTGTGTTGTCGTGAAACTTGGTGCTATAAACGTCAAGTCCGAACCTCGCTCCCAAGCCCTCGACGTACACAAACTGTATAAAGAAGGATTGGCCGACGAAGATATTCTGCGTGAGATAACCCAGCACAGCTACGATAAGATGGCACTGAAACTAACCGAAATGCAGGTGACTAACTTTTGAATACAGTTAATTCAAATATATATTGTGTTTTTATTATTATTATTATTGCTTAGGTTGGTGGACAAGCTCACGGCCCACCTGGTGTTAAGCGGCTACCGGAGCCCATAGACATCTACAACGTAAATGCCGCCACTTACCTTGAGATATAAGTTTTAAAGTCTCAATAAAGTTACAACGGCTGCCCCGCCCTTCAAACCGAAACACATTACTGCTTCACGGCAGAAATAGGCGGAGTGGTGGTACCTACCCTTGCGGACTCACAAGAGGTCCTACGAATACTAATTACGCAAATCATAATTTTGTCACTTTCATTTTGGGTGTGTTGCTTTAAAAGCACAGACTAAAGTGTGTGTTTATTTAGATCGTTATAGCGACGTCGTCGGAAGATTGGCAGTCGGCTATAGCTTCGAACGAAGCGACGTCCCTGCACTTGCTGCAGCCAACGAACTTAGTAATACAAATACACAAATGTCTGATCACGGACGATCCGAGAATGCCGAAGGTCAAAGTCCGGGGTGAACTCGAGAAAATCGCTATAAGCGCCTCCGAAGACCGGTGAGTTGGTTTGTACTGCTCTCACGAAACTATATTCATTAAAATGTACGCAACACGTGTGCCAGAAGAAGTACAACTCAAAAAATAATTACAGTGCAATTAACGCTGCAAATGCAATGCTTATATATATATTTAATTTTAAATTACCAGTTATTTGACAAAAGACTATAGTAGAATTATTTTGTCCGTGCAGTTTGAGTCATAAAAAATGGGAGCGGTGAAGCGAGTATTTCGCTCTCTCTTCCACTCACGAGCCTTATGGACGAGCATAGTGATGCGCATTATTGTTGTCGATAAGCGTTATCGACAGTGTATTTAGTTTTGTCATTTTGTGGGTTAGTGATAAAAACGAAAGAAAAAATCAGTAATCGAACACTTACGCCACATATCGCCGCAGCAAGTTAACGAAAACGGCAGAAATTAACACATTGTAACTTTTCGGGATCTATTCTTATTTCAGTGTGAAATTTTAACACATTGTTGATAACAACATGTGCAAATATTATTTTGAATAAATTCTGCCGTTTTGATACAAAACAAAGGAGTAGCCATTGTGTCACTAAAGAAATTCAGAGAACGAATGCATAAAAACACATTTCTCTTCGACATAATGTACTATAATTTGCAGGTAAGTACAAATGACTCATAACATAACAATGTCTCACCACCCTTCGTATACCACCCCGCCGCACAGTGGGTCGATTCTATGATTTTAGTGACTTAGGGACCAACTTTGTTTTTTTATAATTTTTTTTATGTAAATAGATAGAGCTCGTTAATCTCAATAATAATTGTTTTGGGCAAAAATTACAAAAACTTTATAGTTTGGTCAGAAAAATGTGTTTTGTGATTTTTTTGTATGGAGCGGGTCACATTAAATTAAATTCCTGCTAAGTACCGCGAGGTCCCGCTTTGAAACTTTATTTTCCTTATGCCTTGTCTAGTCTACTATCATTTGATGCTATGAACATGTGCATAAAGTTGCAACTCTGCCAAATAAATGGATCGAAAAAAATTAATAAATACATAGAATAAAAACCTTTATATTTTTTTTCGTAAGTGCTTTTAAGTTAAATTTTGTATGGATTAGTAAGTAAAAGCACGTAATGATACCCATAATTACATAATACCTAACAACAATACATTTAGTAGGTCTCTAATTATGCAATCTCTCTAAATATTATATATTTTGTTTCACCTTTCGATCTTTGGGTCAGAAGACGAAAGAAGATTGTGTAAAATATCCTCATTAGTCGACGTTCTACTTCTCATTCTTGAATAACATNTGGTATTCGATTTTTAAAACCAAGGAGTTTTCAATTAAAAAGATTTTAATATGACAGGAACAGTGGAAATATTCCATTCCCGATACTTTTAGTGCAGCCTAGTAGTTACACATTTATTTGGTATTTAAAGATAACTCTTTTTAGGGCCTATAGTGAGTCACTTACATTAAAAATAATCTGTTTACCACGAAGTCCTCAAGTTTCAAGGTGATTACCACCATTCATGTCATAATTAATGTCTTTGGACTCTGGTAACCACTGAGTATTGTGGTAACCACTGAGTATTGTGTACTCCGTGAGATCGTACTACCTAAAAGTTCAGATCCGGAGTAGATTCATTCACTAAGAAGCTGCTCTCGAGTTGTTAGGTCTCCTATGAAGGCGCTCGGGCATCTGTTAGCAAATCCCACTCCTCCTGACTGAGCCTTTGCGCGCCCACCTGTCCCAGTGAAACTGGAAAGGCCTCCAGGCCATTAGTAATCCTGAAATCTTAAAAAAAAAAACCAGAAAAACTACCTACACGCAGTAACAAAATAATGAAAATTTGAAAATAAGACTAAAATTAGTACTTGTTTTAGTACTTTAGTATTTAGTATTAAAAAAATATATTAAAATCTCATCATCATCATCTGCCCACAAACATCCAGTACTATACAGAAACCTCCACCAAGGTTCACTACAGTGCCCGATCCTAAACTGTTGGCACCCAGCAGAATCAAAGCCATTAAAACTAGAATGTATGTGCTATTGTTGAACGTAGGAATTATTGACTTACAATGTTTTAATTAGTAAAAACCATTTGTTTATTTCATTATGAGATGAAAGCGATTAATTAGCATTACCATATGATCTAATGGAAATGATGACAACTAATGTACCTACATGTCAAAACCATAAACAATAAAAAAACCATTTGTGCAATTCACACGTTGTAGAAGTGGATTGTGGGTTTTTTTTAATGATGCAAAATTTGATAATTATTTTACATTTTATTCGTATATACGATTATTGATACGATATTTGACGTTGTTTTATTTTTTTAAATAAATTAACACTTCTTGCGGCATAACTACGATAGTTAGACATATGCGGTCGCGACACTTTTTGTAAATAATAAATTGTTCTACAAAGTAGTAGTACATTATTTTACTCTATCATCAATAGTTTTCGCAGGGCACGCGATGTAAAGAATATTTTAGGTAATTTTTTTATACCTTGGGTTACATTATTGGAGTTTTAGTAAGCATCCCTAATTTTTTTCAAAAAAGATTATTGCCTATGTCACTCGGGAATAGTGTAGCTTCCAAACAGTGAAAGAATTTATCAAATCGGTTCAGTAGTTTCGGAGCCTATTCAATACAAACAAACAAACAAATCTTTCCTCTTTATAATATTAGTATAGAAGTATAGATGTATTAAGTACTAATATTAGGTACGAAGCAGATGACAAAGAGAACCGCGAATATAAGAAACACTATAATGCTTCCTATTTCATTTTCTACCACGTTAAATCTTATGTATCTAAATGTAGTAAATGAGCTATCTGATACTGAAAGAATTTTTCAAATCGGACCAGCAGTTCCTGAGATTAGCGCGTTCAAACAAACAAACTCTTCAGCTTTACAATATTAGTATAGATTTATCTGTCTCTTTTTACTGTCGCTTTTTCGTTTCATCGACTTTCGAATCACAACGATGCTAAAAAAGTTTTCCCTTCAATAATAATAAAAATAAATTTATAAAGAGTGTGCCCGCGCTGTTGTCGTGTTTTCAAATTGACATAATAATATTGTTTAATTGTATTTGTCAATAAATTTGAATGAAACTATTGTCAGCCGTGACCTATCTTAATACTTTAGGTACAGTTAAGTAATGACGGGAAATAATAGATACATTTGCAAAAAACAGATAGATTTTCTATATCATATATGTATTCATTGTTTTATAGGCATTATCTACTCTCAGGTTTTCTTAGCCGATTACGTGCTACAAGAGGTACTCATAGGGCGCAGACCTAGACACTTTACAGTTCGGCATTAAGGAGATGTATTCTTTTAAAATAATAATAGGATTAGTCCAATACTGAAGTTCAAATTAATGAAATCGGCCTGTGACTAGTCAAATGTGAATTAGACTAGGATTTATAGGAAATAATAATTTTAATAGAATTATTTTAAATCAATGATGAACTCTCTTCGAACTGGTAAATCATCAATCTTGTTTTGACAGAAAATGCTTGTTTTCATAAATTGACGCTACACGTGTTGTGTGCTATATACTCTTATTATGTACTATATATGTTGTCATGTTGTGTCCTACATATATACTATATACTCATACTATTGATTAATCGATTATGATTTGAAAATATGTATAACATTTTTGTACCTTTTTACTCGATGCTTATACAATTCGTAGTAGTTGAATATAACAAAGGAACGAAATTTCATTTTTGCCTAAACATAAAATTTTGATGTTATTATATATGAATTAAGTGGTCTTTAAGCGCTTATTAAATAGATTAAACATATAAAACCCAAGAAAAAGCTATTTTCAGATTAATAAGTTCAAGTTGCTTCCGCAGCTAACGTAAGCCTTAAATCAATGTCCGTATCAATTAGAACATTAGTGAAGATTAAGAATAAAAACAAAAGCAACAATCGCCTCGCAGTTTATCTGTTGAACGAAAGAATGTTCGCTCTCATTTGAAAGTCGCTTCTGTTATCTGTAGTCCGTCCTCGGGCCGAGACAGAGGTTATCGCTTCCACCACCACCGATCGCATCCCCCCTTCCTTCCATCCTGGAACACGCTTCGAGCGTTTCTGATGCACCAGTGAATCGATAAGCCGACACCCATAAACATCTGTGCGCCTGAAAACGACAATTCGCGCGTTTTGGTAATTAGATAAACGAGCAACGTTCGTATTTCGTATTAAGACTATCTCGTACGCTGTGCGGTGGTCTCTGTATTTGGACTCAGTTGGAAATGTTAAGCGGAAAGGTTTTTGTTTGTATAGTTTTAGTGACTGGTGAGTACTTAAGTTCTATTACGGTAGGTAGTTTAAAAACAATTCAATGAAATCACCGTTAGGTATTTCATTTTCCTGCTTATAATCTTATGTATTAATTAATAGGTCATAAAGGATTTCCCTGTGTACTAATTGAATAGAGCGCGTTCGAAACATACCATCATATTTTATGTAAAACTTCCCTGAGTTAACTGAACAATTGAATATGCAATTTCCAAAAGGGCACATGTCGCATATTTTGTTAAATACGTTTTATTCATATACATGTAGGTTTGAGGCTTACCTACACCCATTTTAAATAATTCCAGTAATTTTCAATTGCTAATTAACACCAAAATATATCTCAAAAGTTAATATTTTAAATTTTACACTGATTTAGAAAATAATCAATTTTTTTTCATTTCCTGAACATTTTACAATTTCAGAGATGTGCCCTTTTCAAAATTGCATATTCAATTAAACCTTTGGAAAACTAAAACAGTTATGATAATTAGTTCATAAAAGCAGCAGATTACATTTTTAAAATTAGTTTTAGATACTCCTTTGAATTTCGTGAACATTGAACTACGTTTGATACCAGAAATGTTAGTTAATTATTTTTAATTTAACCTCGAAAAGCTTTTTTTTTTTTAATTTATCAGTCCTGGGCGCTCTTTCTCCATCCCATTATTCTATCTACCTACCAACCTCTTTTCAATATCAAAACCATTACCCATTTTTGGCGCAAGTATTTATAACATTAAATAACAACACTTTAACAAAAACTACCAAATACGGACTGCGTCTAATATATTAGACTAGCTGGCGTCGTGATCTATAGGTTATCGACCACACGCCCACTGTGAAGTAGGGCTGTGAGCATAGACAATACACTATACTCTATAGAATTGTAGGTAATATTAATACAAAGGAGGTAGTATGTAGCTAGTTAGTTTAAAAAAAAAGTAGAATCGAGTGTCATTTTTGTTCTTGGAGAAGATTAACAAATATTTTGAAAGCTTGTAACCATGGTACACTTAAGTAAACATTAACACAAAGTAAACACATTAAGTTTACAATGCTTACAAAACATTAGAACCATTCGTGGCCTAGTGAAGTGAGTGATGCGAATATGCATTATGCATAGGATTATGCGGGATTTCAAATCCTTTGGGAGTTACCAATTTTATAAGTAAATAGATCTTCCCTAACACATGTTCCTGAATAACTTTCATTCAACCTACATGTTTTTTTAAGTTGGTGATGGGATATATTGATTGACTGCATGGGCTTGTAATACCGTCCTATATATTCCTGCCATAAAGTTTACATGGGAAAGTTCGAGGGATTATAGAATATAGTATTATAGATTATAGAATATAGTATTATTATATTATAGAATATAGGGATAGATATAGAATATAGGGATTATAGTTCGGGGGATTATAGGTTATAGAATATAGTCGTTATTTAATAAACAATTTGAGCTTTAAGTCGCATATCAAAAAAGAGTGACGATATATTACCTATGCAATTCGGTAACTGCTCTTCCCTAATTACCCAGAACGTAACATAAACAGTAGAGTTGATTTTAATTATTAGATAAAATCTCGGAACTGCAAATCTTCTATTTAACGTCGATATATATTTAAATTTACATGTGAGGTAAGCTGTATTATTTTCTTGGAACGTTTCAGTAATCATAGGGTAAGGAGAAGATGTTATTAATAGTACATTATAATACAGTGAAAGAGTGACAATTTATGACAGCATTCTACCGAGAAATTGAGGTTAGCGGGCTAATACTACTGGTGTTCTTAGAGTATGATCATACTTGTCTAACGCAGCTTTGAGATAAATATCCAATAGAGATAAATATATTTGAGATAAATATGGTGATCCCCACTTGTGTGAACTTGACCACTGTTAGGGACTTGGGATAAGGAACTTAAACGGGAACTAAGTTAATAGGAAGACCGCTACAGCTGTTATGAGCCCAATAGTAACTCGGGTTGGCTATGGTCACATTATCAGTTTTTTTTTATGTATTGCTTAGATGGGTGGACGAGCTCACAGCCCACCTGGTGTTAAGAAGTTACTAGAGCCCATAGACATCTATAACGCAAATGCGCCACCCACCTTGAAATATAAGTTCTAGGGTCTTAGTATAGTTACAACGGCTGCCCCACCCTTCAAACCGAAACGCATTACTGCTTCACTTCAGAAATAGGTAGGGTGGTGGTACCTACCCCTGCCGACTCACAAGAGGTCCTACCACCAGTATATCCTGCTTTTTTATTTTTCTTAGAATGCAGGCGAGCACCCGTTCTGATTACCGAGGCTCATAGACATCTACAATGTCAGGGGCATATCTGTGCCATCTATCTAAGCCTTTTATATCATAGCGCTCAGCAAACATCTTGAAGAGGAATTACGATAGGCGAATATTATTCAGAGCATTTCGCCTATTTCTATTACATCCACATTTCCAAAATTTTTATGTCTCAGCTCATTCAAAAATTAGTTTTATCTCTACCTTCCCCGAAATTGACCGTAGCTCACAACAAAGCCGTACAAATTAATCTATCAGATCACGAGCACTTCTCTATGAAAGAAAATATTCCTTGAATAATGGACATTTTCATTTACGAGCACTTCTCTATGAAAATATTCCTCGGATAGTGGACATTTTCATTTACGAGCACTTCTCTATGAAAATATTCCTCGGATAGTGGACATTTTCATTTACGAGCACTTCTCTATGAAAATATTCCTCGGATAGTGGACATTTTCATTTACGAGCACTTCTCTATGAAAATATTCCTCGGATAGTGGACATTTTCATTGGCACCACACAACTTAGCTCATAATTTACATTATAATTAGCCGTCCAATCGATCACAGGACGCAAACGGACGTCAAAATGCAATTTAATTGCCTCGAAGCATCATTATTTCATCCGCACTGCATGGCAGACGACAGTTAACGACTTTGAGTTAATTTTAGTTTTAATGCAGGATGTGTGATCGTTCTGCGCGTTTAATTATAGCTTTTGCCTCATTGAGCTTCCATTAAGGTCCGAGATATTATTTTGAGTATTCACGTTGTAAAACTACATATATAATAAAATTGCTCATGAATCTGTAATATGTATTTCTAGTATTTTCTTTGGCTTTCGCGAATCTTAGATCTAATTTAAACTAATTTTACGGTTTAATCTATAAGTAGTATACTAAAAAGTCGCTATCATAATTACTTTAGGCTTTAAAGCTCATACATAGTTTTTGGTGCTGATTGGGGATTATTTTATTAATACTAGTCAGACCTAGGTCTGCATTTTTGTGACTATCCATTAATAATTGGGTAATATAGAACAAAGTCTGGAACTATATATATACCCACTACAATCCACATCGAACTATTAACCATTGCGACTACCCTAAAGTTGTATCTAGGTCCAACTCCGCATGTATTGGACTAGTTACATCTCTTTGACAACTGTTCTCCAAGCATTGACCTTTTGCTCTTTGAGGCTCAGCAATTACGTAGTATACGAAGAGCCGTTTCCTCCTGCTCCACGTATTCATATGAAAGGGCGGCAAGAGTGTAAACCCAACAACGACTGCGACTGACATGGATCGCATGTGACAAATCCTGTCGCGGTATCTGCAAACTCGCTCAGTTCCGAAGCCTCGCTTGTGCACGTCCCTTCTCAACTTACAGCGTCATTGTATGAATAACAACTATCTGTTTAAACTGCTTACGCGCCACCACCATACGTTCATAGTACTAACACGAGGATCTTCTGTAGTGCCAAAAACGGCTTTTAAATATTGTTTTTTTTATTTTACCCAAAAAGACGCTGTTTGTAAAAGCCGAACAGCGGAGAACGTTCTGTACATCTATAAATCTATATCCAACTAGCTGACCCGGCAGACTTCGTAGTGCCTCAATGGATAAATAAAAGACCTAAGCTTTTGTATAAACTTAAAACAAACAAAAGGAATACGTCCGACGGGGGACACAACAAAGGGAAAACAAAATTGTTATTTTTATTTAATTCCGAGCATTTTCATATTTATCTACCTTTTAAACCTTCTCTGGACTTCCATAAATAATTCAAGACCAAAATAAGCCAAATCGGTCCAGCCGTTCTCGAGTTTTAGCGAGACTAACGAATTCCTTTTTATATATATAGATTACATAAATTTATAATCTATCGTATAATTAATCGTCGTTTCACAAACATCGGCAATGCTCCGAGTTCAGCCATGCGACTTTCAGTCTTCCCAGCAAATTCACATACTATTTTATTTAGACGAACTATGAAGGAGCTTAGGCTCAATTGTTGTCCAATATATACCGGAGTTCATAACCAGCACAATGTGACTGCAGCCTATGCTGTAAGTGAGATTGTTCCGAATGACTATTTCGCGACAATATTAGGTAGGATCTAGTATAATGTTTAGTATAGTGGCCTTACAATAATCAGGCAACTAAGAAATCTGATGATTCCGATGCTAAACTCCAATGTTAGTCGAGCGAAAGTCTTTCGTAAGCACTAACTTATAGCTAACAAAAAAAATCTAAAGCCTTTTTAACCTATATAGTTAGATTAATATTTTTATCAATTTTGTATTGGATTTATGATTCACCAATACAACTATATCCTTCAACATTTCGTTGAATAATTGATGTGACTCAGACATTTATAAATTATTATTAAAAAAATACTTTGTCTTCATAAACCATCCCTATTTAAAAAAAATATTGTTGTTTCCTGCGTTGCTTCCGAACCACAAACACTTCAAACTAACAATAAGCAGATAGAATAAACAAATATAGAAACATAACTCTGAATTTAACATTCTTTTTGGTATAGTCCCTAATTACTTTACTATAAACGCTGTAATAAAATAATCCAAAAGTTTTGTTCTCAATAATCATTGTACTCAATAATTACCGAATAATTGGGCCCCTATTAAAGATGCCATAAATCATTAACAATAAAAACAATATCAATATGTTTACCCTATATTCTGAACTGCGCAGTTTTATAAAAATAATGCAAGAAGAGATATCAGAAGAGAAGCTGTTTTGGGTCACTGCACGATTCGATAAAGATAATAATATGAGGAGCGGCACGCGACTGTGTTACACAATTACTGCTTCATTTGTTAGTGTTAATTTGCATTCGATGTAAAAAAATGCTTTCCGAAACAGTTGGCCATCTATTGAGCAGAAGAGTTCCGGACATATCTGTGTGCTTAGTGTGAGTTTTTTAACGTTCTCGATAGCGTAAAAGTTAACCCAAATTTGTATACTATTGCGCCAAACGTAGGCAAACCTTCCAACTCCATACAAATTTGAGTTAACTTTTACGCTATCGAGACCGTTCAGAAACTCGTACTAAGCACACTGGTCACCTAAGTCCATACACAACACTATGTGAATTGTGCTACCCGTCTCGAAACATTATTAACTCGAATATTAAGCACGGTATAAAGGTAGATGGATCCTTCGAGCGGGACCACAATGGTACTGCGTAGTAGAAATAAGCAAGATGGCGGAATCTACCAGGAGTCGATTGCGATACGATCATAACATTAAATCGAAATTTAAACTTTCTAAGAGTTAACATGAAGAGTCTGTAGAGAAAGAGAAATCTACGTATTAAATTACGGTCTTCTTATTTAAGAAGAACTCGTTAGGTATTAGAAGAATATCAAAAAGTGTTATTCATTTTACTAGACAACGCCATTAAACAACGAACAATTAGCAAATAGAAGTAAATTTAACAACCTAAAATAATGTGTCACGTAAACTAAACCGCATCGCGTAGTAGATTGCTCAGAAAATGTTGACTACGTAGGAACGTTTAAATATATTTTTATTAATATTCGATAATTAGACAAATAATTCCGTTGCATAATAATTGAGGATAGATAATATTGAATAGCTGTAATCACTATTATTAGTGATGATGTTACATGTTTACACAAAATTAAGTAAATGAGAGGAGGCGTGGTTGTGTCATTGTTTACGTATGAGCAATGTTGATAGGGCACTGCGTTCAAAGTATAAGCTTTGACGATATTTACATATGTATTTGTATACAACTAACGGAATTTTATAGAAATGACTAGAAAATTGGTATTCCTTTTATTCATAGGTACTATGGAAAGTACACCATAAAAACGCGACCTGACCTAAGACTGACCTAGAGTATCATGAGTTAGGTCAGTGCCTAAAATTAATTAGATTATTTTATTAAATCTATAAATTTTTTAGTTTGCGTTCAAAAAATTGTTTCATCACCATCCCGCTAATGACCGTTAACACGAAATTCATAAGATCACTGGGAAACATTAGGAAAATAAATAATGCCGATTAGATTGAGAGGTCAAGTAATACGTCACGCAACGATAATTCTCAAAACCAGAACGGAATAATACGTGAAACGATTAATAGCTCATGTGTCCTTTTTCTTATCAATTTTAAATTTAATTTACATTTCCCGTAAAAATTTCCCTGAAAAGATCCATGAGTTAATAGAGTTTCTTTATTAAATTATGAACTTTTATTAATTAGAAATTTGTTCACACATTGAAGTTCTATGCTATATACAACTGTTTCGATTGTATATAATAAAATAAATCCGCATACCATATAATATTATTGATCGAAGGCTTCACCTTATATAACAATCGGTTTTATTATTTCAAATTTACAAAGAATCACATTAAATATTATTATATGGACACGAGATTGCAGATAGCGTAAAATATTAAATTACATTTGTATTAATTAAATGGACAATTCGATGATAGTGGCAGATATTCAATATTAAAATGTATCTTTGTCATTTGAAAATTATAATACTTTAAGAAATAAAACTTTACCCATACATTATGTTTTCCATTACGTGGAGACCTTACATTCCATTATGTTAGAGGAAGTCTGAAAGTGGCACCTATGACAGAGAAGTTGATGAGACGAAATGAAAATGAAGTTGGTAAGAGAATGTTAACTATGAATGTAGAAGGATATAGAGGAAGAGGTAGACCTAGAAGAAATAGACGGATTACGTGAAAGACGATATGGGTAAGAGGGAAGTGAGCGAAGAAATGGTATATGATAGAAAAGTATGGAAGGAGAAAACACGTTGCGCCGACCCCAGGTGACTGGGAGAAGGGCAGGATAATGATGATGATATGTTTTCCATTACGTACTTTTGCAGATTTTGCAATACGTATAAATAATAAAATCTGTCGTGATTATCTCTAAATTAAAACCTCAATATTACAGTATGGATAAAAGCCGACTGCGCCAGTCTACCGTTCATTCCAACGAGATTGGGGAGCGTCAAAGAAGTCAGCGCACCGGATATGAGAGCCCCGGGTGAGCTGGTCCGAGCGAGGGTCCGCGAGGGGGTGCCACCGCCGCTGTGTGCAGGGCGGTGCGTGGCCCCGCCGGCAGGACCAGTGTGCGCCTTTGATGCAGCCGGAACGGCGAGGACATTCGCTACTCTATGTGAACTCGAGGCTGTTTCGTGTCGCGAAAGCACGTGTAAGTAGCTAAACAATATTCTCACCTTTTGGTAGGAAGGACCTCTTNTGGTCCGAGCGAGGGTCCGCGAGGGGGTGCCACCGCCGCTGTGTGCAGGGCGGTGCGTGGCCCCGCCGGCAGGACCAGTGTGCGCCTTTGATGCAGCCGGAACGGCGAGGACATTCGCTACTCTATGTGAACTCGAGGCTGTTTCGTGTCGCGAAAGCACGTGTAAGTAGCTAAACAATATTCTCACCTTTTGGTAGGAAGGACCTCTTGTGAGTCCGCGCGGGTAGGTACCACCACCCCGCCTATTTCTGCTGTGAAGCAGTAATGCGTTTCGGTTTGAAGGGTGGGGCAGCCGTTGTAACTATACTTGTAGGCAACGGCTTGGCTCTGCCCCTGGCATTGCTGAAGTCCATGGGCGACGGCAACCACTCACCATCAGGTGGGCCGTATGCCCGTCTGCCTACAAAGGCAATAAAAAAAAAAAAAAAAACTTGATACCTTAGAACTTATATCTCAAGGTGGGTGGCGCATTTACGTCGTAGATGTCTATGGGCTTGAGTAACCACTTAACATCAGGTGGGCTGTGAGCTCGTCCAACCATCTAGGCAATAAAAAAAAACACAACAAGTACTCTATTCCGACAATCGTTAGTCATAATACGGACGTGCAATTTTATAATTCTCGCATTAGTTGATTACTTGTTCACATTATCGTATCATTTTGACCTTTCATGTTTTATGAATCATTTACGAACCAATGTTTTACTTTGTTAGCGCTTCGATTCGCATTTGGACGACCTCTTTGTTTGCATAGATGTTGATGGACTTATGGAGGTTCTGGTGTGAATTGATTACACAATTGTATGTCAACACCAACACATACATAAGGTCAAAGTCTTCGTTGTATTATATCTAGTCCTTCTTCTTCTTCTTCTTTTTCTCCAACTTATCCCACTGGGTGGGGTCGGCACAGCGATTTTTTCTATTCCATTCTCTTCTATCAGCCGTCATCTTAACACTCACTCCTCTCTCTCTCTCATATCGTCATTCTCACACTCCATTCATGTCTTCTTCGGTCGACCTCTTCCGCCTCTACCTTGCACTACCATTTCCATACATCTCCTAGTCACATGCATCTTCTCTCTACGCATCACAAGTCACTATTAATTTGTTAATTACCAGGGCTACTTTCACGCTTCCTCAGACTTTCTCGCCTATTATATCTAGTCCTTCATCCGATCTTAGGTTACTATGACAGATATAATTGCTCATTTTTTATTTTATGCAATGTTAATTTTGTTCATAAAATGAACATTGTATACTTCTGTAATAAAATTAATAAAATGAAGGTGAATAATCAAATGCCATAATTTTAAAGGGTGGGACATTTTTTTAAACAACACATTTCGGAATTCGAACTCATGTCCCAAAATAGATAGTAATATTAACAATAGGGTGGTTGTGCATGTTCAGTGGATTGTTAAAGTTAAATAGTTTTTTTTCGTTACAGATTACGCCGTCACAAGTTTGGGAGTTTGCTGAATAATTTAGAAATTAAGAAAATATGATTAAGGTTTAGTGCCGTTTTTATGGAACTTATATTTGTAAGCCCATCTAATATTACGATAGATCATTTACATTAGTTAATTGGCAACGTACTCAATGGAAAAAATAGATTTGTGTTTTACGTAATTTTAGTGATAAATAATTTTAATCAGTATATATTTGCATACGTCGCGTCTTTTGTAATAATTTGATGACAATACTCATTTGTTTACATAGTTCCTAAATTAGCAGGTCACCATTATTGTATCTTCTTCAAATATTAAATTACATACTTAATCTTTGTTTGGTGATTGTTTACAATATGTCTACTCATGTGCGCATGCACATTCATGCATATGAATAAATTGGAATACCTACGTTTGAAATCAAACGCTTTCCTTTATCTATGGTGTAAAACCTCTAATTTTAAGGTTTTGATAAGTTTTGGTAAGATTTATTATATTAAGTATTCATTTTGATAAGTACATTATGATATGTGTAACTGTTTAATTACACGTAACAGATTAATGAAATTATGACAATGACAATAAATAAAGTTCTGTAGTAATAAAACGATTTGTTTAATTCACTATTCGACAGTGCATTTAGAGTTAATTAATATTTCGATTTTAACTTTTTTTTTACTTTTTTTCTACTTTGAAAAGGACGTTTACATATATTTTTTGTGGTTTTCTTAGAAGTTTTTTCTAGGAGAATCGATTTTAAGGACTCTTTTTTATTTATTTGAAAACTGGTGCTTCTCATGTGGTCCCATTTAAATATTATCAAGACATGATCAAAAGTTTTTGAATTAGCCTTAATAATGCACTTAAGCTTGACTTCGACTACACTGATGATAATCTCATTTTATTTTGTTGAAGTCAATATTCTTTCTTGAAAAAATGTTTATGTGTGTGACAAAACCTGTGATTAAATCACTACAATACAAAGGTTTTTTAAAACACTTTTACACTTAAATATGACATCAATTTAACAACATGTAAAGGACAATGCCAAAAAGTGGGCCAACTTCATGACAAAACTATTTGTACTTGAAAAACTATGAATTATTTTTTCATGTTGTTTAGTTTATGTATCAACATTTCTTTCACCCTGGCATTGTTTTACAAAAAAATAAATTACCGTAAAATGGGGCGATTAGGGACAAATTCCAACTTTATGAGCAATTTTAAGGTAGTTGTTGATGTATATAATGCTATATCAGGATCAAAATGATTGAGTCTTGGGGGCATCTTTGTTGTCTAATTTAAAATTATGCAACTAGCATTCCAGTTTAAGCAAAAAATGCAAAAATAGGTGTAATCCCTATTTACCCGAAAATTGCGGTTAATTGGGACGAAATGAGAAATTTGCTAGGGTTGGCACTACTTTTATTTTTATATATAGTTTTAATTTATTTATTTATTTAGTTGCACCAACAAAGTGATCATCAATAAAAAAAATTGAAAAACTGACAAAAGTACATGGCAGACATCACCTCAATTATAGGTGCAATCGACAGTGCTGATATTTCTATCTGGGTTAAGAGATTAGGTGTGTCGGTTATTCCATGGATTAATCAGATGAATACCCCCACTCTGAACAAATATTAAATATTTTATTATGTATTACTTAGACATTTTTGTCCACCTTGAGATTTCATTGATCTTGTTACATGTCTCTGCAAAATCGACTTACTTATATTAAATTGCTTATCTATTTCAACTAAAGACTTATTCCCAATTTCGCTTCGAATAAACCAGATTTTTACCAACAAATTTAAAAAATATTGTTATAACTACATAGACAACCCTACAAACCTGTACCTATTTATACTTAGGTCGTTTCCATTTCACGTATTCTCATCCCAATTGACCCCTTTTTCGTTGTTATTTGTACCTAAGACGTCCCCAATATCCCCAAAAACAACAGATTTTTACATGTATTTTTATTTAATCAAATACATTAAAACCAATAACAACTGAGACTTACCTTTAATATATATGCTGGTTCAAACACTAAATAACGTTTATAAATCATAGTCGTCTTCTATTATTATCAAATAAATAAAAGAGAGCAAAGTTTCTAGCACTAAAATAATTACCACCACAGGAAGTTAATTTAAAACGCGATTTTTTATAAGTTAGCAGCTATTATCATGCATATTCAGAGTTGTTTTGTGAACTTTCAACATTCTACTATTAAACTACAAAAAATGGAAGATTTTGAAACGAATATCAAACTTATATTGAGCGTCGAAAGATTTTCCCAGTTTTTTCCCGATTCGCCTCTCAATCCCTAATCGCCCCATTTTACCGGTACTTGATAACATCCCAAAACTGAGTGCCATAGTTTTTAAATTCGCCAATAGACAAAGGGAAAATTAGCCCATACAGCCTTATAGTAAACTTATATGCTGACAAACGAAAGAGTTGTCTGTGACTTGAACAACAAATTTAAAAAATTGCTAATGGTTATAATTCACAGACTTTTTAGTTTATTGTTGTTCAATTCAATATTTATGTATTGTAATAATAATTATTACTTAAAACCATGATTTATTTAATATTTTTAGATATTAATGATTCCATTAGTAAAAATCTCAATGGCCTACCATTACTCTATTCTTATTATATATGATCAGAGAGTTTTGGCAGCAAGCGTAGTGACGCTTCACTCGGGTTGCTGCCAAAACTGGTGAAGTTTTATTTTATGTTTTTTTAATAGCTTATTGTGATGTATAATATACAAATTGGGTGTTATTTTGTGTATTAAATGTCAATAATCGTTGTTCACGATTATTGAGGCATTGGAATAAAACTGTGGCTAACATAGCAGTGACTGTTTTTTTTTTCAAGATAAAAGGTCTGCGGAAATTCACGCTCACTCAATGTGCTATTCATCAAGTTGACGTCAAAACTCCCAAAAAGCAATAAAAAGAAATACACCGGATTTTTATTAACATAAAAATTATAACTATGACAGCCTAGGCTGTATAGGCTACGCTCTTTGCCTGCTTGTTGGCGAATTTAAAAACAACAACAACAACAATATCTATATATATATATTTTATTATTATTATGCGGATATAATAATAATAAAATGTACCTAAGGGCTTATTTCTAGCAACATTAACCACAATTAACTTATTTAATATGTACTGTAAATAATGATGAGCGATTATTGATTTCGAAGAAAACAATTAACAACTTAATTTTAGTTGCAGAAAAAAACAGATTTCTCTTAAGCCTGGGTAAGAATATAAAAATCGTTTTCTGAATATGAAACGATATTTCTTTGTCTATCAAATTAAGTTAAAATCATCATCACCCGACAACTTTTTTTAGGGGCCCAAACGCCCATAGAAAATGGGCATTGTCCTTTTAAGCTGTTTTAACTTTAAAATACCTAGTCGAAATGTAACAAAAATTTGATATATAAAAGCGACAGCTTAGATTATGTTAATGGATGTCGATTGTAAGTGAAGATCACAGATATAAAAACAGCGAATAAGTTTTATAATATGAACAAAACTACTTTGTAAAAAATGTATAAAATATGCATAGCTGTTTAAAGTCTAAACGCACCTTCGATAATATTGCTGGCCTTGACAAATCATAAACGTCTCCTTAACTCACTTATCCATTAAGCCTTTACGATACACTAGATATCAATGGCTTCTTATTTACGTTTAAATATCTTAAGAATATATACTCCATTTCAGAACATAAAATACATTTTTATTTCAGACGCTCATTGAATACTGTCCAATATAAATAAACTGGACAGTTGTTTTAGCATTTCTAAATAAACATTTCGAAAACAGAACAAAACTAGGGACACAGCTAAGTCATTGTCTACTGCTTTGTGCTCTGCGAAAACCTCGTTTGAAGACAGATGCATCACAATGTTCATCGTGAACATCAGGAAACATCGTGAACTCCGCTCGAGCTCATTTCAAAGCTAGGTGGTACGTTGCAGAAAGGATCTCCCATCTCAAAACTNTAGCATTTCTAAATAAACATTTCGAAAACAGAACAAAACTAGGGACACAGCTAAGTCATTGTCTACTGCTTTGTGCTCTGCGAAAACCTCGTTTGAAGACAGATGCATCACAATGTTCATCGTGAACATCAGGAAACATCGTGAACTCCGCTCGAGCTCATTTCAAAGCTAGGTGGTACGTTGCAGAAAGGATCTCCCATCTCAAAACTCACCCCGGACGAACGCAGTGGTTCTAGGTAAGTTTGGACTCTGCTCCGGCGCCAGGCGGTGTGATGGTAAAGACGAGATGATGGGTTCATCTCAAATAATTATTCAGAGCATTCCCCATGGAATACCAGGTCATCGTTCTCGTCGAACCCGTCGCTGGGGACTAAGGGTTCGGCGAGTAAATTAACCCACAGACATAGCTTACTGAGTTTTAAGCCGGATCTTCTCAGTGGGTCGCGTTTCCGATCCGGTGGTAGATTCTGCGAAGCACGGCCCTTGCTAGAGTTCGTGTTAGCAACATCGTTAGGTTTAAGCTCCGTGAGCTCATCTACTAGTTAAGGTTACGCTGATATGGTCTCTCTAGACCATCCACTTAGGTAGGAAAAAAAAACATGGAAGATACAGTGGAAACATAGAGAAAACTGAAATTTCTACATCGACCCAGACATTCCAAACAATCGGTGAGAATGTAATTATCGACAATCCGAGCAGCCCTCCTCTTTATGGAGACAAATCGAAGTAGCTGGTATTTGGAATCTCGCCTGAGCAACCTATTTTGACGATTCCAAAGTTCAAACCAACAGAGACTTGAAAATACTAATACATAGTTGACATTTTTATTGAAGTTGATATGTGTTATGATTGATTTAGTGTGTTTTTCTATGTGATAAATCCTATGGAACACTAAAAAATACCTAAGTTTATAATTAGTAAATGAGCATTGTAAAAACATAATTACTGCAAAGGCGACAAGCAGTCTAGTTGCATACGATTGCTTCAGCTAGGTCATATGTTATCAAAATGATCTAATTCGTAATAATTAACACGACCAGCCTAAGTAAATATGTCGTAAGCATCATAATCTATTTTGCACACATGTTCAGATCAATACTCAAAAAGGATTATAAAAGGTACTATATAGAAGAGAACTAAAAGACTACTGAAAAGACGCTTAAATGTGTATAAAATTCGTGGACTACGTGGTTGAATATTATTAACATAAAATATACATACATATGTATATAGGTAGGTAGAACAGAGTTATAGCAAAGTAATAGTGAAATATAGAATTTTTGCTGCTAATAAATAACCTCGAGGAGTTTACTAGCTTTAATGGACCTGGGTGAAAACAAAGAAAACACGTTATTTCGGATCCTCCGAATCCACTATTGATGCTTTTAACCATTCCAAGCACCAGTCACCGTTCTCGTCGAACCCGTCGAACTCGACGAAGATTTTGGCGAGTAAGTTAATTCAGAGACACAGCCCACTGAGTTTCTCGCCGGATCTTCTCAGTGGGTCGCGATTCCGATCCGGTGGTTAGATTCAGCGAAGCATTACCGTTGCTAGGGCTAGTGTTAGGCAATTTGTTAGGCTGAGCCCCGTGAGCTTCGCCTACAGGTTCGGTGAAGTTGGTAGAACCTCTCGAGTTTACCAAGATAGATAGGCATAATAAAAAACAAAGAGCTAATGGAAACTTATACATTATGCTGACACCATCATCAGCAGTTCTTACTCTCAGTTTTTACTTCAGTGGAACTCTTTCATTCCCGATCCTGCGGACAGAATGGAAAGCAGTCGACGTCGCCAAAAACACGTCATCTCGGATCCTCCCGATCCACTAACGGTGCTTCTAGGTACTTCAAGCACCGGTCACCGTTCTCGTCGAACCCGTCGCTTGCGACGAAGGGCTCGACGAGTAAATTAACTCCCAGACACAGCCCACTGAGTTTCTCGCCGGATCTTCTCAGTGGGTCGCGTTTCCGATCCGGTGGNCCGATCCACTAACGGTGCTTCTAGGTACTTCAAGCACCGGTCACCGTTCTCGTCGAACCCGTCGCTTGCGACGAAGGGCTCGACGAGTAAATTAACTCCCAGACACAGCCCACTGAGTTTCTCGCCGGATCTTCTCAGTGGGTCGCGTTTCCGATCCGGTGGTAGATTCTGCGAAGCACGGCTCTTGCTAGGGTTCGTGCTAGCAACGTCATCAGGTTTGAGCCCCGTGAGCTCACCTACAAACGTTAGGGTTACGCTGAAATAGCCTCTCAAGACTCTCAGCTTAGGTAGGAAAAAAAAAAAAGGAACTCTTGTTCCACTAAGGACGTAAATTACAATATATTTTTTTGCGTAAATGGGAAATCAAACTTCAGAACCACCTGGTGTTAAGTGGACGCCGAAACCTATAGTCATCAAAGAGATATCGGATCGTCACATCTCGGTTAGCTTGTTAGCTAACCCCGTTCGTACTGGCTGAGCTCGTGCTTGCCCACCCATGACCACCACCAGCAATCCTCCCATACAAAACAAACAAACAGCAACCTGTTGTGCTCAACCCGCATCTATTTCTGTTGTGTATTTCTGTGTCTAATTTAAACTTTGCATTTTTTACATATATGTACTTACATATTTGTTTATAATGTCGCTAAAATGCATTTTCATGAGAAATATTATTTCTATTACAGTTAAAAATAAAATCCTGTCTAAACATGATGGTCACGGCCCTCAGCAGTGAGGAAATAACGTGAGGAGGAGGAGGTCATTGTATGCCATGTTTTTTCGTCTCGAGTTTCTTATTGTCATTATATTAATACTAATACTATTTCGGACATCTCGAATACTTTAGGGTTTTGTGCAGCCCTTGACAACGCAAAAAAAAATAGGCAGCGGCTTAGCTCTGCCCCTGGCATTGCTAACGTCCTTGGGCGGCGGTAACCACTCACCATCAGGTGGACCCTATACTTGTCTGCCTACAAGGGCAATAAAAGTTACCTGTACTAATTAAGCCGCAAAACATTAGTTATGAACACATAACATTATTAGATTTTAAATACAAAACAAAAGTTTTGTTAAAGCTTTTAATATGCGCATACAAATAACGAGGTAATTATTGTATTACTTATTAAAGATCATTAATTATTTCGTTTACAGTGACTACATTTCTGTTTAAACGACGTCAAGAAAACGTAAAACATTGGATTTTCTATACTAATATTATAAAGAGGAAAGATTTGTTTGTTTGTTTGTTTCGAATAGGCTCCGAAACTACTGGACAAATGGAAAAATTCTTTTTCCATTAGAAGCCGACATTGTCCCTGATGAACATAGGCTACTTTTTTTAAAAAAAAAAATTATTTTATTTTTTTGGTTTCATGTGTTTTAATGTTTCCGAAGCGAAGCGAGGGCGGGTCGCTAGTTTTTTATAAATACAATAACAACAAAAAGTGACATCGTAAATTGATGTTGCAATAAAATTTTCCAATAGAAAGCAAGTTTAATATGCCAATATTACGAGTATAATTTATCGAAAGCAATGCTGTTAGTACCTACTATAAACAACGTGATTAATTATTGTTTCTTCAGTGTTCAAGAGAGACGGATGCCATCTGATCCAGGACACTGGCCTTGGCTGATCTTGCGCAACGCTGTAATGAATAAAAATAAAAATATTAGTAATATATTTTTTTATTGCTTGGATGGGTGGACGAGCTCACAGCCCACCTGATTTTAAGTGATTACCGGAGCCCATAGACATCTACAATGTAAATGCCGCCTTGAGACATGGGCTGTAAGGTCTGACTTTTAACAGTACAACGGCTGCCCCGCCCTTCAAACCGAAACGCATTACTGCTTCACGGCAGAAATAGGCAACGCAGTGGTACCTACCCGTGCGGACTCACAAGACGTCCTACCACCAGTAAAAGTAGTAGTAGCAGTAGTTATTAATTATCATTATAATTGTCGTAATGAAATGCTCTCACATTCTCTTCTGGGCTCGCTTAACCTCAGACTAAGTTAACTCGATGCCTTGATCTGATGTTTATACCAATAATTTCCTTATGGAAATCCTGATGATTTTACCAACGATCGTCGCTTCGTTCCAATCAACCATAACACTTCTTTATTGGAGAAACTGCTTCGAACAATGTGATTGGACCTCCATCTTAAATTACGGTACGCAATTTGGTGTACGGTGCGTTGCTTCCACCATGTGCTTCAGATGAACGCGTTAGCATTATTGGAAACGAAATGAAAAATCGACCTATGTATTAAAAAAATCATATTTTCTCAAAAACAAAAATAAAACTGATCACATGTAATTGGGCCGCATAGCACCAAGCAATATTTCAATGAACAATCGATAAATAATCCAATAGTTTAGGCTTCGACCTAATCTTAAGGTGGGTTCGTCTTAACTTGTCTACGGACTCCGGTAAAAACAGTTTTCACCACCAGGACCAGTGCATCTGATGCCAAAAAAATAAATAAATAAAATAGGTATTTTTTCTTATTTAACTCAAGTATTGCGGATTACCAAAGCAATAAATAATAGTATAAAGCCTTTTTTTCAATAAATAACACGGATCTACTTTAAATGACATTCCTATTCAATATTTAAATCCAAAGTAATCCAAACAATGCAGCGAAAAACAAGTTACTGCCCGGAACAATGTCATTGTGAATTACATCACCGTCACGGCTTCATGCCTATGCGAATTTGATATAATCTATTGTGTTATTTTGTGCAACTTTTAAATACATTTTACAGGTACAATAATTCATAGAATTTCAATTCAATTTCAAATGTTTGGATGCTTTATTTAAATGTAGAATGGAACACCTAACAGAATTATACATCTAAGTCCATCATGAGCTAGACGTGTTTGTATTTGCTATAATAAGAACTAAAGCGAGACGCTAAGTTGCCCTAATCTCCAGTGACAGTTTAAACCTTCGATTTTAGTTTAAAGTATGATTGATATTATAGGCCTTAATGATCAAGAAAGATACTTAGGTCAGCTGTGAACACAAGAATAAAAATAAGGTAGGACCAATCGTTGCTTTCAGTGAAATACATATTTGCTTTTACTACCAAAATAAGAGTTTAGTGTTCTTGTGAATTACGGTAAATTACCTACAATTAACAAAAAAAGGTCACTGGTCACTCATGTCGAAAATACATTTTAGATGAGTTTATTAATTTCATAATTAAATCTTCATCCAAAATATGTTTTTTTTTATGGCATAGATTGGTGGACGAGCTCACAGCCCACCTGGTGTTAAGTGGTTACTGGAGCCCATAGACATTACAATGTAAATGCGCCACCCACCTTGAGATATAAGTTCTAAGATCTCAGTATAGTTACAACGGCTGCTCTACCCTTCAAACCAAAACGCATTATTGCTTCACGGCAGAATTAGGCAGGGTGGTGGTACCTACCCGTGCGGACTCACAAGTGGTCCTACCACCAGTTTAAATGTATATTGAGCTCTTACATTCCTGAATTAAAAATCACAATAGTTAACAACGTTAATCGTGTAATATCGTCCCTATATTGCAACAATATCGGACGGAAGTAGTTCTTACTGGAAAAAGTGAGCTAATACTACGTGATTCACGATTAAGGGCACCAGCTAACAACATAATGTAGTTACTAAAGTGGAACCAACGAGATCAAAACAGGAAATGTCCAATTCTAGAGGAAAACTTCAATTAAGGTGATACAATAAACTTGACAACGTAATGAAAAACGTCCTCCAAGAACTCCGAAATCGAGTAACAAGATTTTTTAGACCACGGCCATTTATGAATTCCTTGAAAATCATACATTACGGTCTGCAACGATAAATAAACGCCGCTAAAGCACACTCGGCACACAACAAATTAATTTTTATGCTTCTTGAAAACTGAAATATATATTTAAATTCTATTACTTTACACTAATTACTTTGTAAATATATTATACTTTTTTTTATTGCTTAGATTGGTGGACGATCTCACAGCCCACCCGGTGTTAAGTAGTTACTGGAGCCCATAGACATCTACAACGTAAATGCGCCACCCACCTTGAGATATCAGTTCTAAGGTCTCAAATATAGTTACAACGGCTGTCTCACCCTTCAAACCGAAACGCATTACTGTTTCACGGCAGAAATAGGCAGGGTGGAGGTACCTACCCGCGCGGACTCACAAGAGGTCCTACTACCAGTAAATACTTACTATCTTTGTGTTCGCAATTGTAGTTGTTCATGACACACTCGTTTCCGAATGACTTGGGTTTCTCTCCTGTCTTTCCAGCGCAGATAGGGTCAAGATTAGCTTTGGTGCAGTCATGCATGCAGGCCTTCTTGCGCTCAGCATCAGCCTTCACCTGCTTCAGGTCCAGCTTGTCGGGACGGCACGACACCGCCACGAACAACACAGCTGGAATTGTTTAGAAAAATCTCCTAAAGCCTTGTGTTTACCAGTTCAAGAGAACGTTAGCTCGTTATTGATAGAGGAAGTCGATAGTGTTTTATTAAGGAAAAAATCGCATATAACATGAACAACGTAGATCTAGGTTGCTGCATTCATTTACTTAAATTATATATAAATTTATCGTATTTTTTCCTGTTTTCCCATTCTTGTTTATTCTTAAATTTACTAAAAGCTAGTTACATCACTATACGATCCAAAACGACACCTCGAATTATGCCTAATGAAATATGTGCAGGGTTAGCCCTAATCATAATTTCAGTGCTTCATTGAGTTTTAACATGCTTCTATTAGAAGTATATATCAAAGTAATTGTGACCAACACCAAAGTTTCCAATGAACTTGAAAATTTGGACACATACAAGAACCGAAGACAATCCAATGATCTTATACTTTGTCTTAAGGTCCTAACTAGGAACTGGGATAACGATACATTATTTTTAATTAATAATTCGGTTTGCTGTTAAAGCGTGTTCCCTTTTTATTGTTTTTAAATTATATATTTTTAACAATCACCTAAAGAAATTCAATACTAGGCGAAAGAACATTTTTAAAATCTACGAAAATAGAACAATTAAATGTTCGTTTGCTAATCACTTTTTAAATCCCTATCTATAACTACTAATATAAGTTGTTGGTTTTGATAAAATAATTTAAACGAAAATTAAATTAATAATTTAAGTATATTGATTATTTTATGTTTTACTGCTATAGGCCACAAGGTGTTAATACCACCGCTTGCTATGAGAGATGAGGTCGTTCGCAATTTTATGAGTACCTAATTGCTGTCCCACCTTTCAAACCGGAGCGCGTAATTTTGGGGCAGAAATAGACAGCATAGTGGTACCTACGGCATTAGTCATGAGTAAATTTGAGCACCTTACTGAACAAAGCTTACTGTTTATTTAAATCCAATTAAGAGTCTCCGGTCCCTCATGAGAGGTCCGCTTGATGCTTATTGAGAACATGAGCGCATTCATACGGTTTTTTTTCATTGCATTGAAAGCAATTATTATGTACGTACTAATTGAGAGACTGAAAAAATGCGAACAAGGTACTGACGAAAACAGCAAAGTATTTTTTTCCTACCTAAGCTGATAGCCTTGAGAGGCTATTTCAGCGTAACCTTAACTAGTAGGTGAGCTCACGGGGTTCAAGCCTGACGTTATTGCTAACACGAACCCTAGCAAAAGCCGTGCTTCGCAGAATCTACCACCCGATCGGAAGCGCGACCCACTGAGAAGATCCGGCGAGAAACTCAGTGGGCTGTCTGTGGGTTAATTTACTCGTCGTGCCCTTCGTCGCAAGCGACGGGTTCGACGAGAACAATGACCGGTGCTTGAGGTACCTAAAAGCACCGTTAGTGGGTCGAGAGGATCCGAAATGACGTGTTTTGGGCGACGTCAACTGCTTTTCATTCTGTCAGCAAAGTAATGAACCAATTTTAAATTTATAGTTGTTCTGGAAATGGAGTTCATTCTACGCAGAAATTTCAAATGAGAAACAAACAATGTATGTCCTTACGTTGAAATCAATTTCATTGCAAAACTGTTGAATTAATTGTGGAAAAAAACTATAGCTCCGTTGCATAACATAAAACACAAAAACAATTTAATTAGCACTATCACTGGGCAATTTTATAAACAAAAATAAGATAAATATAATCTTACCGAAAGCAAAGAAAATAATGGTCTTCATATTGGAACGAAACTGATGAATTCGATGGACCAACTTGCACTAGACTCCGCGAAGCTTGAATTCTCGGACCTTTTTATAACCTGTCCGAGTGTGGAGGAGGTACCAGCACCGATAATATCAAACAGACGAACAACTAGTGAACAAAATCATCATTCGCGTCCATTGCCATCTTTGTTGTATGGAATGGAATCGAAACAAAAAGGACAAGGTAGTGTATAGTGAATAAAGACTTTATCTCGTAGTTGAGGTCATCACTTAATACATAAATAAGATTATTTTAATGAACGTGGATTTATGAGCCAACTAACCAAATGGGGTTCATTGCTTCGTGTCATACAATCTGTATTTTTTATAAGTATAAACAATTTATTAGGTATTTTAAATATAGCATTAATCTTTGTAAAAAAATATCAGTTTTTTAGAAAAAGTTTCATTTAAATTTGATAGATTTCGAGTTTTTTTTTTATTTTTTTATTGCTTAGATGGCTGGAGGTGCTCACAGCCCACCTGGTGTTAAGTGGTTACTGGAGCCCATACACATCTACAACGTAAACGCGCCACCCACCTCGAGATATAAGTTCTAAGGTCTCAGTAGTATAGTTACAACGGCTACCCCACCCTTCGAACCGAAACGCATTACTGCTTCACGGCGGAAATAGGCAGGGTGGTGGTACCTACCCGTGCGGACTCCCAAGAGGTCCTACCACCAGTAAAATCTCTTTACTATTAATTTTTCCTCCCTTAGAGTTAACACGTGATACCTTTATATTTAAAATATGTCTAGTAGTATTAAAGAAGCATTATTTTCATAGTAAGTTTTCAAAACCGTTGCGTGATGTACTTTTAATGCATACATTAAAGAAGGCATTAGAAAATGGCTAAATGACTGCAGTTGGACTTATTGTACAATCAATCTTACAGTTTAGTCTGTCTTCTGTCGTATAGATAAACTGAAGTATAATACTGGTTAATAAAATTGGATTAATCGGTACCATATCTGATTTGAAGGAGATAAAACACCATCGTATTCCTCGTAACGGGATCGGGATATCCTTGTTGTTAACTGTACTGTATAATATAGTCCTTTCGATGTGATTTACTTTGGTCGATTTTTCTTTTTAGTGATATCTGTTGATGAATAGCAGAACTAACATACCGAGTTTTGTTTTGGACTTAATGTTTAGCTTTAAATCGTTATTCAATTCATTTTCTTTAAAATTTTAAGCATAACAAATAAAGTTACAACCATGTATTTCAATAACTGATACAGGTCACAAAAAGTTACATAGCACCTAAATCCTAAATCTACAGAAATGTTAAACGTATTTTAAAATCTTCAAACATTTTCGTAAAAACATGAGAGTATGACATCTATTATCGAGTATAAAAAGCTATAGTATGACATTCACCCGATAGATGTCACTTGTAGGTAGATTTGACGTACTTACTCGTATATGGACATGTAATCTCATAGACCATCTATTATGTCATTATTGTAGCTCATAGATAGCGCAACGCAACGTGAAATTTTTAAGCAAGGTATCAGTGTGCTTAGAGCGAGTTTTTAACGTTCTCGATAGCGTAAAAAATTACTCAAATTTGTATGGAGTTCGAACTACAATTAACCCTACTAGTTCACATTTAAATTATATTAACTACAATCTCAGGTAATCCATGAGTTACAACTAAAAACTGATAAAAGCGACCATCAGCTTAGGTAGAAAAAAAAAGATCAAAGTATTTCTGAACCTTACCGATTAATGATGAAATATGCATAGAGTTGTCTGTTGCTAGATAAAGAAGGTGCAAAAATAAATTAATGATTTTTTTTATATGAAAGAAATATGCGATGTAGGTATGTATTAGCCCAATATTATTTAACTACGTTTTGCTTAACAAAACTTTCAACAGATGACGCTAGAAGACACAAATACAAAACCCAGCAAACTTGTGCTAGCTGTACATGTAGCGGAATAGCGTCTTCAGCGTCTTCAAGCGCCATAGCGGACACATTTCTGCCCGGTATAGAATTGCCCATTCAATGATTAGATAGTAGACACTATAGTAACCGGCAAACTTCTTGAGCAAATGACCTTGACTGCGCAGAACCGAATTTTAGATCACTTTGGTGGTGAGGGTGAGGTGCGACGGCAGGGGAAATCGTATCGAGCGCGTTATTGGTAGATCAGTCGAACCTTGCGTCCCGCACCGCGCCCTCGTTCCGCTTGCTCCCAAAGGTACGCTTGCGTACAGTGAAAAGTCTATCGTTATTAATCGTTAAGTTATTTGTTATAATATAATTGCTTGTTGACTTTGTTGCCATTGCTATTTGTTGAGTGTTTGTTGATTTTTTATAAAAAATACACTGTGCCGCGACAAACTGGTGTAGTATTCAATAGAAAGGGTAGAAAAATTGTGTACGACGTATATTGCTTCATTATAAAACAGGGGAAGAATGATATGGAAAAAGTAAAACAGACTTCGGAAGCAACAAAAACATCCGTGAGTACTGTTAGGTGCATTATCAACGAAGCTAAAGGCTCTGGCTTGCTCGCCGTGTTTCGGACTCCGGGGAAGAAAAGATCAGGGAAGAAGAAAGTTACCGGAATGGATAGTTTCGTTCAATCTGTAATAAAAAGATGTAATCATAATAACTACATAACAAGCAGCGAAACTCCGTACCGTAGAAAGGCTTCGAAAAATTTAAAGAAGATATAAATTTTAATGGCTCGGTATGAAGTTTACGATGAATTATGAAAGAGCTAGGCTTCAAATGGAAAAAAAAACCAGAAAATAATCGGAAGCTGGTAATTGAAAAAAGTTACATTCGATTACTACGAATCGAATATCTTCAAAAAATAATTCATTATAGACAAAAAAGTAGACCGAACCGACCGAGTTGTAAACTACACCGATAATCCCTATGTCAATTTATCACGATGATAGCAACTCGGGTGATAAAAACAGTGATGATGATGGTCAAGATTATGATAACGAAAAAAAAATTACAAATACCAGCTTCGCTTCAACTGAACCAAGACCTGGCAACAGCTCTAGTTTTGACTTAATAGAAGGAATATCTATTTTACCTCAAGATTAAATTATTACAATTATTAACCTATATTTTTTGTTGATGTTCTCATAAATATATAAATAAATACATATGTTGATTTTAATAATTTAATTGCATTATGACGCAGAGTAAATAATGTTTTTGCACGTGAGTGTACCATGCGCAAACTTAACCCCACTACGTCAACAAATGCTCAAGAAGTTTGCCGGCTATTATACTAAAACACAGGTTTGTGATACCTTGTGAAACAGTGAAAATTATGTAAATATTTTTGTTTCATGTGGGATGGATTCACGATGAGACACCAATCTGGAACGCAGTGGCAGCAGAGAATTGGGCGTTGCAAGATATCCGGCAAATTAGCAGAACAATAAGAAAACACTAATTTACATATTGAGATTGAGATTGAGGCATTCACAGGATTCAATGTCAGCGAGCAAGTTTTCATACTCCGAATTTGTCTTTTACCCGTTACACTACTCTTGCTATGTAGGGCCAGTGTTAGCAAACTCTCTCAGATTGAGCCCGTGAGCTCCTCTACCTCTCCACGTGTAGTTGAAAGTCTTTTTTTTTCCTACCTATGCTGATAGCCTTGAGAGGCTATATATAGCTTCGCCCTAATGTGTAGGTGAGCTCACGGGGCTCAAACTGGAGTGTTGCTAACACTGGCCCTAGCAAGAGCAGTGCTTCGCAGAATCTACCACCGGATCGGAAACGCGACCCACTGAGAAGATCCAGCGAGAAACTCAGTGGGCTATGTCTGTGGGTTAATCCGCTCGTCGAGCCCTTCGTTGCAAGCGACGGGTTCGACGAGAACGGTGACCGGTGCTTGTAGTACCTACCTAAAAGCACCGTTAATGGATCGGGAAGTTCCGTAATGACGTGTTTTGGGCGACGTCAACTGTTTACCATTCGGTCTACAGGATCGGGTATGTAGTTGCCAGCGGCCACGACGAGAGGGTTCTCATGTTGTGCCGCCTTCTGAAAGTGGCGCAGTGATGCCGACTGTAGATACTTACTGACTGAGTCAAGTTCCTGGTCATCATGGAGATCTACGTTCCCTAGGAACCATGGTGCTCCGACGGCTATCCTGCAAAATCGGGATTGAATAACCTGAAGGGGTTTCAAGTTAGTGCGGGCCGCGTGAGCGAACACTACGCTTGCATACGTCATGACGGGGCGTATGTAAGTTTTGTAGAGTGTAACAGTCTTAGGGCCGATTCACACCGGAATGGCAGCGGCCGGCGGCGATGCCAGCGGCTCCCAGCGTCGCCGCTGGCGGCCTTGCGCGGCCTCCAGACTGCACGCGTCTAGTCTCCTCATGACTAGTTTAGTTTCTTCATTCGGCAATGATCGTGTAATAAAAATGAAACCCGCAAAATTATAATTTGTGTAATTACTGGTTGTAGGACCTCTTGTGAGTCCGCGCGGGTAGGTACCACCGCCCTGCCTATTTCTGCCGTGAAGCAGTAATGCGTTTCGGTTTGAAGGGTGGGCAGCCGTTGTAACTGTACTTGAGATCTTAGAACTTATATCTCAAGGTGGGTGACGCATTTACGTTGTGGATGTCTATGGGCTCCAGTAACCACTTAACACCAGGTGGGCTGTGAGCTCGTCCATATGGGTGTACGAGCTCACAGCTTATATAAGCAATAAAAAAAACGTTTGTTTGGAGTGAACATGATGGAATTGGTTATTATATATGACCACGGTGCCGCGAGCGGACTCGTATCGCCGCTGGCAGCCGCGGGCAGAACCACCGACAAGACGCACGCGGCGCGCGGCTGCTCGCTTCACCGCGGGCAGGCAGCGGCAGTGTCGCGACCTTTTCTAGCTTTTCAAGCGATACTGATCTTTTAAGTATATCTAAGATAAAGTTTAAAATTATTTCACACTGAAAGTGCTCGCCGCGACGCTGCCGGCCGCTGCCAATCCGGTGTGACTCGGCCCTTAGGCTACCAATGATTAGTTAGAGAAAAAAAAGTCAAATAAAATAAACTGCCCCAATTTATTGACACTAGTAGTTTTATTATTGTTACCCTTATCCTGTGTATCATGTTATGTATCTGTTAAATATGATTGATAGCCATTATTCTTATGAACAATGGAGTCATCGACCCAGTGTCTGTCAATAGGGACATCTATGTATATCATTTACCTATATGAACTTTGATATAACGTACATTGAGTTTTCCTAGTGATCGACTTCAAGTAACCTCGGTGATTAAATGAAGATTGTGGAACAAAACATAATACTATTGTAGGAAGGACTAATAAATATCATTATCAGTTTTTTTTAATTAAGAATATCAGGTATTCCGCTTTTCAGGCTAATGCACCGAAGATTATCCATTCTGTAGTCGTGGAGTTTAAAAATAAGATGGCAGTCGAATTTGTTATGCCTACTTAAACCTCTACGTCGGCATAATTCTTGCACATGACTATCAAATCTCAACTTTAGAAATAAACTCCATGAAGAAACATACACATATGTAGAATTAATTTCGATATTTTAATGAGGGATTTAAAACAAAACTACCATTAATATAAACATCTTTTTTTTTTTTATTCCAACTTATAACCATACATAATATACACAGTACAAAAAAATCTTGCTAGTACAGCAAAGGACAAAACTAAATTGTCACGTACTTTAACTATCATTTTGTAACATACTAACCAAATTGAGAAATCTAATAATAGGATAAACTTATCTACACGCTGTGTTTTAATGTACAATGCTTCGAGCGAATATGTTTTACTTCAAAATACAATAACTTAAAAGTATACACTTCTTATAATGTACTCGATGGAATTCGAATTAAAATTTACACAATAGATACATACCATTATAGCTACAAGCTGTAGATAACTTGAAGAGTTTATTTGTATTTCGATTAAGGAACATAAAACATCCACATCTCAACGATATCACCATATTCAGACTAATTTACATTGCACATACTCCACTCGCGGCGAACGCGACGGATTAAAATCACATTTCGAGTACACTCACACACACAACTGGTACACAATCGAACGGACGCGCGGCGACACACACAGCGCGCATCACACTCGCCCCCAATCTTACGTTAAATGCGGAACTTAGCTACGTTCGAGGTTGAGATCAAATGCGGGAGGTGTTCGCGACCCGACTCACTCGGCCTTCGCGAGAGCCTCCTCGAGGCAGCACAGGGAGTCCTTCACCGCGTGGTACACGATGTTCTTGATCTGCAGCTTGTCCTCCTTGTTGGAGTGCTGCCGCGACAGCTGCCGGAACTGCTGCGCGAGCTCGAAGCACCGCGACACGTTCTCGGGCGACACGAAGTCCTCCGCCACCTTGATGCAGTCCAGCAGGTTGCGCACCTGATGCGGCGCCCCCGCCGGCACGAACACGGCGTCCCCCGGACACTGCAGGATGGCGTACCCCTCCACGCCGTACTCGCGGTACAGCCGCTCGCGCAGCGCCGCGTCCAGGTACCAGGTCTGGTCGTGGACGGGGTCGTGCTGCGGGCGCGGGCGGGCGCCGCGGTCGAGCTCGGCCCGCACGAGGAAGTCGCGGATCTTGTCGGCGTCCTTGGCGGCGTAGATGTGCCAGAGCGCGGCGGGCGGCTTGAGGCGGGCGCGGCGCCGGGACAGCACGTCCACGCCGGCCTCCTCGGCCGCGCGCGCCGCCTCCCGCGCTCGCTCGGGCGCGTCGGCGGGCGCGCTGGCGTGTACCATCACGTTGACGGCGTCGCTGACGTCGAGGTGCAGGTTGGTGGTCCCGCCGGCGCCGCCGTACGCCGTGTACATCTTGGGTCCGAGGTCGGGTCGCACGAAGCACTCGGGCAGGCGCGCGGCCAGGTTCAGTTTCCCGTTGCGCGAAGTGTACTCGGAGAGAGGGAGAGCTCGCATGAGGTCGTCGAAGCGCGCCGGAAGCAGCTCGGCGAAGTCTTCGCCCGGAGGCCAGTCCTTGAGCTTGAGCACCATGGGAGCGCCGCGTTCGTCTCGCAGCCGCTTGACGGCGAGATCGAATCCATCCCAGAACTTCCTTGCGGGCTGGTTGGGTACGACTAGACCGGACGCGCAGTTCACTAGATCCACGCGGGTGTCACCGAAATCGCGTGAGAAACTTTCGGGGGACCACAAATCCTTATCGAGCAGAGCAGATACATCAGAGACTAGAACTGGTTGACCACGTTTCCACTGGTCCTGTAACAAAGAAATTATTTTCATTAATACCATTTTCTTTTATTTTCTATAAATGTTCCATTCTTTTTTTTATTATGTAAATATTTACGTTAGATTCTGGATTATATAGTATTGTATTTATTTTGAAACAAACCTGGAAAGGTTTATAGTTGCCAGCGTGCACCGCATCCGTGAGGTGTAACAGTTTGCCGTCACAGAGCCAGGCATGCGGGACATCAGGATAGAGAAGCTTCGATTCCGTCAGGGTCATAATTCTGACGGGCAGCTCCTCGCGGCTGCGTCCGCTCCTGTCGTAACGTTTAACCACATTCGAGAGAACGAACGGTTTCTCATCTTCGTCTTCGTCTTTCTTCTCGTCGACGATGCTGGATATGACGTCCTCGAGTGCGTCACTCTTGTTCTTCTTCTGTTTCTTCTTCGGTTGAACCTCTCCACCTTCCGGAGCCGGCCTGATCAGTAATTCTCGTAACGTCGAATAATTTCCACCTTCATCCGAATCCGAGGTACTAGAATCGGACTTTTCGTCTTTACTCTCAGACTTTATGGGCAAATCCGACAGCCAGCTAACGATGGAGCTGCCAGTCTTTACATTTTCAGATTTCACCGGAGACGAACCGTTAGTAGGAGTACTTTCTTCCTTGACGTCTTCCTTTTTCACATTCTACAAATAACACAGGCAAAATAGAACATTAGTAATTGGTGTTATCATCATACATATTTCAATATAGTTTTAGATGTTGGAGAGAAAGAATGTAACTTGACAACGCTAGATACTAGTTATTCTCTAGTGGCAGCGTATTTAGCTCCAGGTGGTCCGGTGCCTATTTTTTCATTTTTGTCGTGAAGTGGTCATGCGTACTGGTCGGATTCTACATCTTAGTGCAATGACAATTTAGGGAGGTCCCTGACCAACGGAAACCATCACGAGCTGAACTCAGACCCGTTCGAATTCGTTGGCGACATTGCTTAGATGGGTGGACGAGCTCACAGCCCACCTGATGTTAAGTGGTTACTGGAGCCCATAGACATCTACAACGTAAATGCGCCACCCACCTTGAGATATAAGTTGTAAGGTCTCAGTATAGTTACAACGGCTGCCCCACCCTTCAAACCGAAACGCATTACTGCTTCACGGCAGAAATAGGCAGGGCGGTGGTACCTACCCGNCTTTTTCACATTCTACAAATAACACAGGCAAAATAGAACATTAGTAATTGGCGTTATCATCATACATATTTCAATATAGTTTTAGATGTTGGAGAGAAAGAATGTAACTTTGGGGAATGCTAAATACTAGTATTCTCTAGTGGCAGCGTATTTAGCTCCAGGTCGTCCGGTGCCTATTTTTTCATTTTTGTCGTGAAGTGGTCATGCGTACTGGTCGGATTCTACATCTTAGTGCAATGACAATTTAGGGAGGTCCCTGAGCAACGGAAACCATCACGAGGTGAACTCAGACCCGTTCGAATTCGTTGGCGACTTAAAAGCTGAGGCTTTAAGCCCCATATTTCAACGTGGACAGGGCTGATTATTTTGTCTATAAGGCGTAAGGGCTCGAGGTGACGGCCAAAAACGTGGGATAGGTTAGAAAATGCTGAAGGAATAGAAGCTTTAGGGAATTTTTTTAACCTTAATTAATGAGATCATAAATTAATCCTAGAATATGATTTGATAGCAGTATACAGCAATCGGCAACCACTTTTACTGAAGTTAAGGTGCATTGTGCCCTCACACGGATACACACCACCTGCAATTATTGCTGACATGAATCAAACATTCATCCCAGTTTAGGTGGGATATACGTTTAACAGTACAACTGAAACTACAATCTCGTTGTGATATCCTGTGGTCTTCTGTAACTAATTAATACCTATTGAGTTATTAAGTAAAGTCAGTTATAAAAAATATCTGTATATTAATACGTGAAACAAATACTTTGTACCCCTTTTTACGAAAATTGCGCGGACGGAGGAGTATGAAATTTCCCACACTTATAGAGAATACAGAGAAGGAGTGCAACATGTTAACATTTTTGTAAGTTATGCATAAAAATACATTAAATCAATAAAGGAACGCATTGCACACACGCATGCATACTATTTGTTTATTGTGAAACTTTTGCTTAAATTAATTTAACCTTAATTGCTTAAAGTCTGTGGCGAAATAGAGAATAGATTAAGTATTGTTTGTCTTTATTGCGAGTAATATTTGTCTAAAATGTAGTCTTGGCGAAATCTGTGATTATAGAAGTTTTTTTTTATTTTATTGCTTAGATGGGTGGACGATCTCACAGACCACCTGGTGTTAAGTGGTTACAGGAGCCCATAGACATCTACAACATAAATGCAGCCACCCACTTTGAGATATAAGTTCTAAGGTCTCAAGTATAATTACAACGACTGCCCCACCCTTCAAACCGAAACGCATTACTGCTTCACGGCAGAAATAGGCAGGGTGGTGGTACCTACCCGTGCGGACTCACAAGAGGTCCTACCACCAGCAACGAATAGTCTTTGACAATAGAATACTAAAAGTGTACAAACTTATAATTTCAATTAATTATAGTCGATTTTCGTAGCTTAAGTGAATACCTTATTGAGCGCGATCTGCAGCAGGTTCTTGGCTTGCTGTCGGCGTTGCGGCGAGGGCGCGGGCGCGTGTCCGCATGAGCACGCGGGCAGACCGAACACGGAGCGCAGGGTGTGCACGCGCGTCGCCGCCGCCCCCAGCGCGCCGCCCGCCGCGATCTGCGTGAGGAGCAGCCGCCGCGCGGGGTGCGGGCCGCCCATTGTACACGTCAACCATCTGCAAACAAACAATACAACACTATTGTAGTTTAGAGTTTAGCGATCCGGAGACTTGAGAGGCTATGTCAGCATAACCGGGCGAGTAGGTGAACTCGGGCTCAAGCCTGACGCTGTTGCTAACACTAATCCTAGCAAGAGCCGTGCTCCGCAGAATCTACCACCGGATCGGAAACGCGACCCACTGAGAAGATCCAGCGAGAAACTCAATGGGCTGTGTCTGTGGATTAATTTATCCGCTAAGCCCTTCGTCGCAAGGGACGGGTTCGACGAGAACGATGACCGGTCCGGAGAGCGTGAATAAATTAAGCGTTACCAAACACTAGAAGATCCACTTTGACATAAAAGATCGGAATCGCAATTGGCATAGCGTCTTACTCTTGTATACAAAACGGATGATTACTTCAAGGCAAAACTAGGCAGAGTAATGGAGAGGTACCGAACCGTGCCGGCTCCTAACATATCCTACCAACCAGAATCGCATTGATCTCAAGCCTAAGACGTTTCTCAGCTAATTAGGGATTTCGTAAAAAAAACCGGACCAAACTCGTGTTGAACTACAAAAATATCAGATAGCATTGTACACTTTAACCAAACGTGGCGTAACCAAATCGCATTTGGGCCCAGCTACAGGCGTATTGGTATTGAATTAAAATTTAATATTCCGAATATTGTGAATTGAAAGTAACAATTATAACAGCATTTGAAAATGGAACACAGTGGTGTACCAACTGGGCTGGCTGAAATTCTCCGTTCCTGACTAATATTCGCAAAAACCTTGAAAATGCCACTACGGAAAGCAATATAATTATAAGATAAAAACATATTTTTTTGAAAATAATACCTATATACATTATAATAATGATAATTGTATTCTACATTTTTTTAAATCATAGAACATGTCCAGGTGAAACCGTGGATCATAATGAAATCGTAATTATTGTCAATTGTGAAAACTGAATTTCTAGATAAGGCAATGCAAATATCTACCCAAGATTTTTAGCTTAATTAACTAGCCTTATTTTGTGTATATGTATAATAAAAAATCCACAGTGTGATCTATTGACTAAGTGATGAAAAATAAATAATAATAATATTATTATTAGCGAAGTTCTGTATAAAAATTAATATGACATGTTGGAAGTTGGATCGCGAGGATAGCGTCATCCTTAAGCGCAAAGATATGATGTTTCGTAGCCAATGGCTTTCCCGTTCATTGTCTTTGGGTCGTTAGCGGCTGTAACATTAACTTCTAGTAAAAAGCTGAAAATTTTAGGGGTATTATTATATTTTCAACTTACCCAAAGGAATCTCTTTCTCCGTTAGTGGTGACATTGCTTGTACTACTTGTCTCACTACTCGAATTTGTGGTAGCTTCAGTTGTGGTTCTTGTCTGCAACATCACACATAACAATTTTATAATTAGTTTGAACTCTTGTGAGTTTACGATTTTTAAAATAGAACGCAGTTCATAAATGAATTTTAACGATTTCCTATTTAATTTGAAAATACTTGTACATTACTCTCGTGTTTTCTATTGTCCTTATTTTATTTGAAGCGTTTCGAAAACTTTAGATTTTACGGTCACAAACGAAAAAACTGTAACACCGCAAAAGTAGATGTTATTATGTTTACAATTCAAGAAAACCAAAGATTTTCTATTAATTAATGTCCGTCTTAATTTGTTTAATGTAACGTTAAAGATAATTTCTGTCAATATTTACCTTATAGCAGTCTAGGCAGACAACAAAGCCGCACTTCCCGCAAGTCCAGTGAAAGTTAAAAAGTGTGGTCTCACAAACATCACACATCTCACGAACACCTTGTACAACACGTTTCCATGCTACTGTCTTATCTAAAACAAAGATAAAAATGTTTTGTTCTTTTCCAACCGTAAAAAAATATAAATTGTTATCTTTTTAATTGGAATTTGATTAATTTTGAGCGTAAATTGTAAAACACTTACCAGTATTCAAATGGTGCGATTCCGCTTCTTTCTCTTGTTGTAGCAGTTCACAGAACTGGTCTCCNCCTTGTACAACACGTTTCCATGCTACTGTCTTATCTAAAACAAAGATAAAAATGTTTTGTTCTTTTCCAACCGTAAAAAAATATAAATTGTTATCTTTTTAATTGGAATTTGATTAATTTTGAGCGTAAATTGTAAAACACTTACCAGTATTCAAATGGTGCGATTCCGCTTCTTTCTCTTGTTGTAGCAGTTCACAGAACTGGTCTCCAATCTCCCTCAAAAGGAAGCAACTCATCTCAATGTCTAATTCGGCGGCACCGGCTGATGACGACAACCATAACTTCTTATCTTCCTGCAGATCAAAATAATATTGGTCAAAAAACATGCTTCCTCTTTATATAGTTTAATAAAGTATAAAAGTGTTATGATCTAATAACGGCACATACCTCTTCGGCGTCCTTGTAAGGATCTGAGAAGCCGGCTATAGCCAACTGTCTGTTTTTAGCGTATTTCAGTCTTCGGAAAGCGTAGAAACGGCAGAAGATATTCGGCATATCTTTATCTCGCTGTGCGGGTGACCAGCGACACTCGCGACACTTGGCGAGACGCGGAGCAACCTCGAAACATGGTCCGCTCTGCAGAAAAGAGTCCTGTGGTGGTTTTACGGGCGTGTTGCCAACGTTGCGGCGAGGCGGTTCCTCACGGCGCCGTCCGCCCCGGCCGCCGCCCCGGGACCTGCGACCACGCGCTCGACCAGCACCGCGTCTACTCGACGTGCTCCCGCTGCCACTTCCGCTGCCACCCGAATCTGAATCTTTATCATCGCTCTCTTTGTCACTTTCGCTTCCACTTTCGGCAGCGGCCTTCTTTCGTTTCGGTTCATCCCCGATCTTTCGGGCGACACTGCTCTTTTTCCGTTTTGCCTTTGGAGGTTTGCGTTTAGGGGGGGCCGAGGATTCGCGATCAGAGCTGGAACTGTCCTCTTCTACATCATCTACTCGACCGTTGGGCTCCTTTGTTTTTCGTGGTTTGGAAGTTTTTCGGACGGACCGTTGGATGGATTTCGCCGCGACTGGAACGGTAACGTTCGACCCAGAATCATCCTGCTCTGAATTTCGCGTGATCGTCATTGGAAGTGTTATACAAGTACCTCCTCCTCCCGAACAATCTCCCTCACCTATTGGTGCGGTTTCGTGTCTCTGAAGCCATGCTTTTTTTCCAAGATGCCGCACTGGAGCTGAGCCATCACGTGGAGATGACGCAGCTTTCGCAGGTGTATCAGCGTCGCCACTTACAGAGACTGGAGGTGTCGCCGGTGGTGCAGGAGGAGTCGGTGCAGGTGGCGGTGCCGCAGCCTGTAGAGGAGACGCGACTAGGGGAGATACAGGTGTCGCTGGCGCCGGACTCGCGGCGAGCGCATGTCTTGGGGCCGGTGAAGCACCCGCTGCGCGTTCTGGTGTTTCGATACTTCCATCTGCAGATGGTACACGCACGTCGCATGGTGGTCCTGGCGCCAGCGGTGCTGGTTCAGACCCAGCGGAAGCGCGTGCTACACTTGCTGCTGCAGCTATAAGGGGTTGAGGTGCTGTTGATTCTTCAAGACGGCGTCGTTTCGCATCAGATTCCGACGGCGATGGCGAACCGAGTGCTGCTCTTCTTCTAGGGGATAATCGGTCGGAATCATCTCTAGGCACACCCAAATCTAAAGGTTGCGTTTGGCACGGTGACGTCGAGGTTGAATCAACGACATGCCGTGGTGTTGGACGAGGTTCAGGCGTTCGCGAATGTGCCGGTGGAGGAGGCCACGTTCTAGGCACCGGCGAGAACGTAGATGGTGGCGGATATGGTACAGGCGGAGGTTCCGCTTTTGCAATCGGTGGAGGTGGTGGTTCAACGGCGACGGCATAATGCGTGGATACTTGAGAATTACTAGGTTTTCCGTAAATATGTGGAGGTGCAGGACTCGAAACCTTCGGTTTTACTGGAGGAGCAGCTGCGTAGTAGGCCGGTGACCGTTGCAGCTGGGGCTTCGGTTGCGGCTGATACAGCCGTCGACCACTTTTATCCTGTGCAGGTAAAGCAGCAGTATGCGGAGCCGGTTGTAAGGTTTGGTGTGGAGGTGCATGAGGCGAAGGCCCCGTCCGATATGTTCGAGAAGGAAGGTAATGGGGGGAAGGATCATTTCGAGGCTTACTCGGATACTGATGATTTTGCTCGAGATGAATTTGTTTTGCATCGTGTTTTACTATAACCGTGTTTTTCTCTGAAACTAGTGGCGGTGGAGCCGGCAAATGTGGATCTTTTATTTTTTCGTAGGCTCTGTATGGAGGATAATTATAAGGTGCGAAATTTGGCTCTCCTTTGGGTAAGCCTGGATGTGACGAATTCTTATCTTGAGCCTTGGAAGATACAAGACGAGCATGTGGGGAGCAGTAGTCTCCTGGGGATGAAACGGGTGGCCGTGTGGATGTATGTTGAGGATGGGTGGGATGCGTAGGTGGATGTCCCGGAGGAGAATAATAATTGCGTTCCGACGTAGGTACCCGTAACCTATCGTGTTCTGGCGCTGGAGCAGCGCGGTTTGGTGTCAAGCTGTGCATTATCGACCATGTTAAATTATTCCGCTCTCCCCTCTGAAACAATTAGAATACGTATAATAACTACAATAAATTAAACTCACCCTTAATTGCCTTTGTAATTCGAACATTATTTTCGAACATACCTTTTGATTGGCTAGTCTCAGAGATTCTTCAAAATGCCTCGAAACAAGTTTAGAGGCAGCATTTTCTTGTTCCCTTCTTTCTTTATCTTCTCTTTCTTGTTTCTCTCTCTCTCGTTCTCTTTCTCTCTCCTGTTCTATTCTTTCTCTCTCTTTTCTCTCTTTCTGCTGTTTCTCCAGCATCTGTTGCTCTTGTTCCCTTCGTTCTCTGCAACAAAGAATCATTGCGCTATATATTTATGATCCATTTACTCACATTTAAATATATATATATGTAATTGGATCAAGTACAAAGTACGTTTGGAGACAATAACAATACATTGAATTTTATTTACCAGCTCATGCAAAAAGTTCGATGTTTTTATAAGCTCATATTAAATAATTCTTTCGAAAACCATTGTTGCTTCTTTGTTTATTATTTTGTTTTCAAAGTTTTGACAACAGTATCCCGCAATGTGTCAAAAAAACTTACTACTAGCCACAATGAAAAATTATTAAGAACTCTTTTTCATTATTTTTTATTAAATTAGTTATATGGGTTTTCTTGTTTTATCTAAATAAATTAGAAATTACTATTTCAGTGGTGCGCGATATTTAAAAAATTATTGAATTGAGCAAAATTGTCTGAATTTAGGCTAACTTAGAAAATACATCTCCATTTTATTTTAATTATGTCAAACCAAAGTTAAAGGTATATATATATTCTTTGACCGTTAGGTACTTTTTATTAATTTCATGCAATACAAACAAGTAACATGGCATCAATGAATTAAATGATAAATTAATGCAAATTCACAATTGTATATCAGCTGACTGACTGTACGTTTCATCGACCTTGGCCTACAACAACTTTCGGATGGTGACGTAATTCCGAACCTTGAATGGGTTCCATAAACCAGAATGCTGTTAACGTATCCAATTACGGCTCAACAAATTGTTTATCTTAATACATTTATTGGGTAACTGTTAAATGATGTTTTAACTGACTTAATAGACATGGTTAACTATAGGGCGGCTCGAATAGTCGCCGATGTCGTGAAATTTAGTTGTTAAATTACTGGAAAAACGATAAGATCTAATTCCACAATTATACTTAAAAAAATATACTTTAGTAAATAAACTCACGTAAAAAATACATTAGCTGAAATAATCTACTATACAAATCACATTCCTTTTAGAATTACACAAAACGACATTTTGCGGAAATTATTTTCGACTTAGCATAATAGACGTGACCATAATTTAAATTTTTATACGGCGCTATACACAAAAACCTAGCGTAACAATGATTTCTCTGTAATGTACGTCAGTGCAAGATAACAAGAAGTATTTCATAGGTACGTCGAAAACAAACATTAGCCATAAAAGTTCATGCAACTCATTCTCGATTACCTCACTGTTTTATACAGAAAATAATTATCGCCACACGTTGTATTGATCTTGGTAATTTAATACCACAATATGCATAATATAATATTCGTTTGGCAAGAACTTCGATGATTCAAGACCAATAGCATTTACGCAAATGCCTCGGATTTCTCTACATTACGTCATGGGTATAAACGCAGAAAACGTGTTTACATCGTTTAACAGTACGCTAATAATCTATTCTTTGAAACAAGGTTATGTCAACATATTTTATAGTAGTTTTAACAATTTCTCTCTGTCTCGTTGTTCAAAATAGCAGATATCGATTTCCCTTATTTAGGTGAGTTTGCGGGCCGATGAACAAAATTATTTTCCATCGTTTCACTCGCATACAAATCAGTGATAATATCGTTATGTAGTTAATACTTTGCCAAGTTTTAAACCGACATCGTTCATGTGTGCATGTTAAATTGTATTAGTCATGTTTACAATAAAACATCATTATGTTTTAATTGGTTTTTCACACTGAGTTCATATGGTCCTAATACCAATTGAATTAACTTGCCTGCCTTATTAGATTATTAATTTAATGTATGTTGCTAAGCTGTGTTGTATGTTGTGTTCAATAATTGTAGATAAGAAAGTATTATTCGATAAAGCGGCACGGCCTCCGAAACTAAGGCTGTCCTACCAACCCATTTTTTTTTAATCATAATTATTTTTGTTTTCGACCGGATTAAGATATTTTACGGCTTATACTCGTGTTGTTTTTAGCCATCACTAATCTAACGCTTCGAATACTTTATAATTTTGTGTTTTATTATACCGGGTAATTGGTTTCTAATTAATTCTAGTTACCTCGGGCTCATAGAAGAGGATAGGAACTTATAAGGAATCTGTCATTGAAATTCTTCGAACAAGATGTTGCAAAACCTTTTTCATCAGTTTTCGTGAATGGGCGAATATTTGTTAGTATACTGAGTTTCATAAATAGGTCGCGAGTATACTTCACAAGAAGCACTATAATAATAGGACCTAGATTAAACATTAAGTAGTCAGAACACAAGTTTCGGCAATTGGATTCGTTCAGTAATAATTACTATTAATAAAAATTAAACAATTACTAAAGGTTTTTGGTTACAAACTCGTCTCACAAATGCCTCAATAATTTTGCGTTTTCGTATTACAATATAAGAGGTGTAGGTAATAATAATAATAAATTATGATATGTATCATCATAGACATCATAGACATAGACAGATCATAGACATATTACTTCACCAGTTTATAACGCAACAAAAACAGTAAATCTTTATTTACGGAACATTTTATGAGCGATTTCATATATATAAAGAAACTCGTCTGGATATTGAAAACGCCTTATAGATAAATAAAAAATCTGATTAGGCATTATATTATTATAAGCTTGTGATCAATTCAATTAAAATGAAGCCACATTTAAAACTTTAACCTTGATTTTTTTTTTTACCTCATTAACATTTTACCTGTAAACTACAATCAAAATCTTACAATTTAGAATCAACACGAGATTGATTTAGTGTTATTTTATTAAAATGGGACGTTTTAACATATCGTCTAACATATGCTCTGCATGAGATCATAAAAAGCCATGTAAAGAAATAAATCATAAAGCATTATCGATTGGTTTTACATAATTGACGTGGTTATTTTTAAATACAAATAAACGATTTCATACCAATTGCAACATCTAGTATAATCTATACTGATGAAATAAAAAGAATAAACTTCCGCTCATTAATGGCTCAATTGACGTCAATTATAAAACAAAACCTATTCATTCGCGTCCAAATCGAATTAAAATTCATGACCGGCTCAAGGATGTCGTTTTCCACACACACTTCCTGACATAACACATTTGACTGCTATTTACATACGAACAACGTTTCGCTGCATAAAATTTAGTTCGTCAAGTGAAATCGACCACCAACTGGTTATTAGGTAATAATGTAATTCAAATTGAGGTCCAAATTAATTTGTTTCATTAATTTATTGTCTACATTTCATTTAATATTAATGTTTTGTAACAGATCGATCGCATAGAAATTGCTAGTTTGACTGAATTTGAATCAAATTAACGTAAATGTGATTGATACTCGTACTATTTAGACCACAAGGGAGATATTGAGCAAATTGTTAATTTGATTAAGTAAACGCGAAAAATTTAAATGTCGATTCCTTTTAACGCTAAAAGACGAGTAATACGAGCAGTTATTTAAGTCAGCAGTATGCTTATATTCTTTAAATTCCATATTAGATTCGTTTCACCGCTTAGATAACGTTTTTTTTGACAAACATATAAAAGGCCTTTTGTAGGCAGCCATCTCTTCCTGTAAGTAAGGTAAAAGGCTTTTGTCTAAGTACTTGTGTTAGCGTACCACGATTGTCAACCGGCATTTAATTTTGGCAAGCACGAGTAGATAGATCATCTTGCCAATTTTTGCTACTAAGCTGGCATGCGTTCCGGTTTGAAGAGTGTGAGATGTCATCAATTAGGATGGGTGACAGACAGCATTCATGTTATGTTTATGAGCTTCGGTAACCCATCAATTTCAGGTGGACCGTTAGCTTGAACGATTTAAAACATGGTACAAAATGTAATACTAGTCTTATGTTAATGACAATTATTTCAGTATGTAAATATCACACATGTAAATAAAGCTAACGCAATAATACTGGCCATTTTTAGATTAAAATAGTAAAATTTAAGTACTACAATGTTTTATTTTCTTTATAAATAAATAAATCTACAGATCTTGTCGAATATTATATATTGTTGATTAATACAAACTGAAACTGAACTATAATTATCAAAACTGGCTTACCGTAGCAGTCTTTCATGTCTCTCTCTGTCATACGCAAGGTATTCATCGGTGATGGCATGATGAAGCGGCGGATGTAACGGGGTTTGGTAGCGCTGCTTCCAGAGCAGCTCAGGCGCGTAGAGCGAGGGGGGCGGCGGAGCGGGTAGATGCAGCAAGGGCGGCGGCGGTCCTCCGCCGTACCCGTGCGCCATACCTCGCCACTCCCGCTCCTCCACGGAGCTGGCGGAGCCGCCTGACCGGACACCACTCACTCCTGAGTCGGACCGATCGTCTGCATCGCGAGCGCACACTATCACACAGTCGTCCTCCTCGGAGGCCACGGCGCTGGCAACACCATCCGCGCCCACACCACAACTCACTGCACTCTTCACTTCACTGTCACTTTTAGCGCACACCTCCGATTTGCTCACTTCCTCTTGTTTTTTTACACACTTGGTTTCCTCACTAACATTGACGACATCACTTTCACTGACACAATTTTCAGGACCTGGAACAATATAAACAATACATTAGTTTGTATTTAAATGAAATCAAAATCATCACCATCATCCTTAAATGAAATCAGAAATTAATATTTTAGTATTTAGTAATACGGTATAAAGTTAAAGTTAAGCAATATTCAATTCAAATTTATTTATAAAGGCGACTCTCCACGTGTCACATCAAATTATTAATGTTTGTTATCACCAGTGTGCCAGATGCATATTTTCAAGCGACTGACGTCAACAACGAGCGAAGAAACATCAGCATGTTTGGGATGAAGCCAAAACGGGCTCATTCACGCAACACCCACGCGGGGAACTTGTAAAAAATTACAATTATTTTTATACTTTATACTTATATTGCCTCTAACAAAAATAAGTCATCGACAAACATAACAATTTTATTGTCACGGTTCCAAATTATCTAGTAGAACGTTCGAATCGAAAATATTTTTTAAGAATAAACAATGTTTGTTGCTGTTGGTCAAATATAAAAAGATATGTTAGATATGTTAAAAGTAGAATATGTAAACCGGAACAGGAAGATAAGATACGTGAGATTATGTTTACGTGGGCAGCCAAGCATGTTGGCACTCCCATCAAGCCACACGCGAATGACGGCTGGATCGTAGCCAATACGCCCAGCGCCAAACGCTCAGCGATCATCGGACATTTGGCGCTTCACCAGAACGAGGGCAATGTGACAAAGACGCGCCTCATAAAATTTGCGAAATACGTACCTACACAGACAGTTAGATAACATTGACAGGTTTTCTAATCACCTATAAAATAATTTACTGAAATGGGATGACCGAAAGAATCTTCCAGTATTAATTTAAGCACTGTAAATATTTAATGATTTAAAAAACATTTATAATAGTCTACCGCGAAGTTATCGTTGAGGCAAGCGTCGAGGAAGCCATTTAACTTTAAGCTACTAATTAACTCGTTAAAACCGGTTTAAAGAAATCCCAAGAATTATATTATACATTGCCTGTGGTATAATCACTCGTATTCTTTTACCAGCTCGGGTCTTTGATGTCAAATAATAAAAAAAAACATTGAAAAACGAAGACCTTGAGGTGACAGATACAGTATGTGTACCTACATATAATATTTATATGCAAATATAGAGTAATATTATAAATACTTTCAAAAATAAACGCTAATCTAATCAGAATACAAATGGTATGACGTAATATGATACAAACTTGAGTGGGCATATGGATACGTGGGTTGCACAATCTCGATAGATAGGTAGCGGATAAACAGTTGATAAACAATGTTCAGTAACAAGAAATGAAAAACGTTGTGTTTACGAAATAAAAGAATCGATGAAAAGTAGAATAGACATGACTTGAATAAACAAAACTATTGAATAAACAAGTTGTGAAACAATGCGACCATGATCAAAAGCTGAGGACAATAGAGTAACAAATAACTCGGCGGGGAAACGCAGACTCCTTGCGGCAAAGTGATTGACAAGACAAACGCTCAGACGGAACCCGTAAGCCTATTCAGCACATAGAATTTGTGCACAAAAATAAAATTCGACGTGTTCCGAATACTTCACAGACTATACAAAAACATTTAAGAAAAACCAAACAACAAAATTTCACATCGTACGCATAATAAAATAACATATCCTAAATTATAACAGTCGAAAAGGTGGATCCGTATTAAGTGGGTTATGTAAGGCGACGCAAATAGTTCTGTGAAATTCGAGCCTTCAAACTGTGCAAATATAATAGGTAGGTAGGCACTCTTTGTGCTTTCGGAGACACGCGCAGTTTTGAATTATTCATTTTAACATACCACTTTACGTATGACATTTTGTTTTTACCGATCTTTCGAGTATAGGTAAACCAACCACACAGCTGCGTAAATAGCATGCGTCAATTTATGTGCAATTCTAATAAACAATCGTATTGAGTTCCATTTTCCATTATAGTAAAGTATTGATGAGGATAAGAGGTCAAAACCGTCATAACTATTTGTGACGAGTTCTATGAAACCGACCGCATGACTGGCGGCGATCAATCATCGGGCCTTTCTATTTGAAACACGAACTGAAGAGTATTGAAATTTTAGATTTATTTTATACCTACTTCTTTGAAAAGATAAACGATTATAAATCGAGAGCACGGTTTATGTTACGTGCTTCTGCTAAATTTCAGCGTAACCATCGCAGTATGCTATGTTACGTTTAAACGTTAAGCCACGAGTCAAAATTTATAACGATGCGATGTTTCGAAGCGCGTTCGTGAAGTCGAAGCCATCTCGTTAAAACCTACGAAGCGTATCGATTCCAACTCACCGACCGTGTAATGAAACACTTCCACTCGGACAATAACCGTTAATACATTTACTCGTGACAAAGCTTTCCCTGTCCCCCTTCGCACTGAAATTACACTTTTTTAGTGGAATGTTAAGTGAATAACATAATTATGATAATTATGTACCTACGTGGTCAAGTACTTTCTGAATTCACTTTCTATAGTAATTGTATAATTTTATTCTCAGTTTTCAGATGTCAAAGCGTTTGCTTAATATACGGAAACTCGGTTCGCCTGTTTCGTTGTATTGTTGTGATCGCTCGTATAGATTACAAAACGTTCTTGGCGCATCGGTTATCGTGACTTGGCCTGCAATACCACCTTGAAGATACAGTGTAGCTCAGTATCTATCACGACTGCTTGACTCGTGTTGTAAATTGCGCAATGCGCTATCCAAAGAGCACGGAGCAGAGCAGACTGCAATCTCTGCTTACCATCTCACGACGTGCAGTGATAACGTGTAAATTCAGACACCAAGTATTTTAACTGGAGACAAGTATTCAAGGAATTTGTTTTGTTGCAATTTTAAAATATCTATTTTGCACAAATGAAATGTCAATTATGCATGATCAGTAAAGAAAGTAGTGCTAGAAATGTTCGAATAACGATCGTAATGTAAGACAAAGGAATTAGATAACAGGAATTAGGTGGAACAAGCACGAAGGGTCATTCCGAGTTTCAACAAACAATAGAGCGATAAAGCTCTCGAATCGATAACGAATTGCTGTTTACGCTAACAATGCACGCTCGGAAAACGTTGCTTGATATCGCATACCGATACTAAAGGTCATTCGATACACGACTAGTGTAATAACATGATAAGTAACGCATTATTTATTGTACGCGATACGTTGAGCTGTCGTTAATCGGTTATATTAATATACTAATAGGTACTTGTAATTAACAGTTTTGAGTTAATCGACAGCAGCACGATCGTTAGCCATAACGATTTAAGCGGAATCACGGAAGGTGAGTAGCTATTAATGGCGCTATAAATAGAGGCTAATCGATATGACTGATATGTTACGAGATTTTTCAAAATCGGAATTTTTTTCCTCTAAAACCAGTTTGGATCAATTTAATGACTAGTTCATGACTTTGGAGTATTACTTCGGTTTTCCATGAGAACTGCTTGTTTAATGAACGAAAACTTAGAAACGATTTCAAATTGCAGGTAATGAGCTACTGCCTTATTTAATAACAACGTAAGCGATTACCAGTTCAAATGTGTTCAACATATATTATGACGTGCCACATCACATGTTAAATTTATCGATTACTTCAAAGACGAGAGGCATCATTCGCGACGAGGTGTGAAATTATTTATTAAACGACAAATATAACTACTATGATTCCTTAGTACTTACAGTGTGGAAAATAGTTCCAGAATCCAAGTAATTTTGAAATATTATACAGCTTCACTCTTTTCAATAACACNTGTTCAACATATATTATGACGTGCCACATCACATGTTAAATTTATCGATTACTTCAAAGACGAGAGGCATCATTCGCGACGAGGTGTGAAATTATTTATTAAACGACAAATATAACTACTATGATTCCTTAGTACTTACAGTGTGGAAAATAGTTCCAGAATCCAAGTAATTTTGAAATATTATACAGCTTCACTCTTTTCAATAACACGAACACAAATTAATCTTCCGTTAATTTAAATCTAAAACTTCCTTTTAAACTAAACGAAAGTTAGTATCACAGATATTCACAATAATATTACGGCGAAGTTTTAATGAATCCTGATATTATCCTGAGGTGTCCTTGAATGCGGCCAGGAAATTGTAAAATACGTTCACCTGCACTCACACACACAACGTAGTCAGTCAGCACTCTGTTAAGCTACACTATCACGACTGAAAATTTTAGTCGTGCCTTGCAGACGTACTAGAGCCTCCGTAGCGCACAAAGAACTGAACGCGGGGACCGGGGGAAGTGGAGTTTGCAGGAAAAGGGGGCGGGGGAGCTCCGCCGCGGCAGTCTCGCGACAGCGACGTAGCGGATCGTGATCGTAGCAACACTAGCAACAAGTGAAGGGCAACGCGGGGGTGAAGCAAGACGGCGGGGCATAATTTTGGGGAGGCTCCTATTCCCTAGTCGCACACAAAGAGCGCACCTGATGTAAAGCCCTGCACGCATGGGATGAACCGGTGAAGATCTCAAATTATTCACACAATGCATTTGGGGAGCGGTCATGTATCAACCGGGTTATTTTTTTATGTATAGCAATTCACGAAACATGATTTGTGAAGTTCAGCAATTTATAAATTTATTATTTTTACTATTATGGTGTCATTGATTTCTTAGCAGTTCTATGGATATCTCGTTCTACAGAGGCGGTGAACTCTTCTACCCAACTACAGCATTAAAAAATAATGTAGCAGGAAAACTAGATATTATTACTTTAACATCCCGAAATCAAAGGCTCAAATTTAATTTCTTAAATTATGTTAAAATATTCATTTATCATATTAAAGTCGTGAGTTTAATGAAATCGTGCCGCCTACGTAACGAGACGGAGAACTTCGAAAGAGTTTTATTACTAGAACATAATAATGTTACAATATATTAATTTATTTCATGGAAACAGAATTGGTATTTCCGTTTTTCCATGTAACAAGATCTATTAGTGTCTTAGCTGGTTTGACTTGCCG